TCTGCTCTCAGTGGTTTCTGTATCGGAGCAGACGCCAAACTGTCAGTGAGAATCAGGATAAAAGTTGAATCCGGCAGGAAAATATTCAGTCTTCCAAGGTCAGAGACGCTGGCGGCGAGAGAACAGACGGCCCAGCTGCTGGGAAACTGCAGGACAACAACAGAGACGCTCCAGACGCTCTTCAGATAAAATACAGAGCTGCAAGCTGCACAAACGACGACCACAAACCACAAACCTGCTGCTGCTGCTGCTGCTGCTGCTGCAGGAGCATGTGACCTGCAGCGCTGCAGTAACACGGCAGCAGACCAGGACCAGGATCAGGATCAGACCGCAGAGAGACAGATTAAAGCCACAGCGGGAGACCTGATGAGGGATTAAAGCTCCAGACTGAGGCTGTAAAATTGATCGCTGAAGCACCAGATGTGCTTTCTCAATCCGTCGTTTGGTCGGTGCGAGAAAACCCTCGACCTGGCGTCTCCAGCTGTCTCGCTGCGTCCGACCAAAACACGCCAAAGGCCAAACGTTCGCTCTCGTTCTTCATCTCCTGGAGGTATTAATATGACATATTTGGGTTTTGAAAAAACAACAACACGCTGACGTTGACAGTGTTTACATGCGCACCAGCGCCGTGGTTATCATCATCATCATCATCAGGTGTCTGGAGTGGAAACGCCACATCCTGGTTTCAGAGACGGATTGTGAATGAAGTGAGTGACTACGACTTCAGATGTGGACGAAAGGCGTTATTTTGTTTCCTGCCAGAGCTTCAACAACTCTGCCTCTGATTGGTTAGGGCTGGTTTACAGTTAAGGTTAAGGGGCCCGACTGAAAACCAAAGGGGACGGAGCGTCTGCAGCTGGGGGCCCCGAGGCTCTGCAACAGCCCGAGGAACTCAGGTCCTTCTGAACAGAGAGCCTTTCTGGATTTCATTTTTCTTTTCTTCTCACTTCTTGTTTTATCTGCTTCATCTAAAACAGCTGGGCAATAAAACAATAATGAGAATTATGGTGATTTAATTTTCCTAAATAACAAAAGTTTGACTTCATTCATTTGAATTACAACCGAATTTTTCTATTAATTAAAAGGGACTGAATAAAGATTTTACATGATTTTCCTGGTGGATATTTGTTGAAAACAGATTTTCTCAGAATAGTTCTGCATGTTCGGCCTCAGATCAGTGAAGAGATCCACTGTTTAGCATCAAGCGTTTGTTCTGCGTCTCACATTTAGCTACAAAACGAACAGCAAAGAACCGAGAACACCTGGATCCAGATCTTCTTCACCAAAGCGGCGCTGATCGAGACGTTTTGGGACCAAAATGTTCCTTTCGTGAAGTGAAAACACGCTGTGAGAGGGTCGAAGCTCTCAGACGGAAACACAGAGCATCCCGACTCTCTCAGAACATTTCACCTGTCGAGTCCTGAGCGTCTGAGCTGCTGCGGGTGACCAGACGGCAAAAATACAACTATATTCTCAGCCTGTCAGAGCTACAGGTGTGTTCATGGACCTGGAGTTACAGCAGGTAACTAAAACCACAAACGTCAGAGCATCGACATTTTCTGCCCATCAAGAAATCGACTATAATGACTCATCATTTCAGCTCCAAAGTTGAACCACGTTTTACGACCAGACCCCCCGCGAGAAAACATGCGACTGTACTGAACACAGGAAGTGTCTAAACCGAGAGGCAACTTGCGGCTCTCACGACTGCAGCCGACGCTGATGACCAGCAGGGGGCGACTCCGCCGGCCGCAGAGAGAAGCGTGACTGTAAAGAAGTCTGTGAGAAAATGAGGCTCCACCCTCTCGTCCAAATATGGTTACGTCTGTTACGAGTTCGAATGACACGTTTCCTTGTGAACGTACTTTCCGCAATGGGCTGCCTGTCGTGAACGCAAGCGCACTGCATTTTCCTGCCTTTTTAATGACGTTGTGTTTACAGACTCGTCGCAGCTGATTGGGTAACGCCTGTGACACGCCCACCAAACGGGAGAAAACGGGCGAGTTCAACCTCAAAACGTTTTGCACCGCTCTACGTTTTTGTTTTGAACGACACGTTTCCTTGCAAAGTTGTGCAACGGGCTTCGAGGTATGTTTTCTTCTGTTTGGTGGGCGTGTCACAGGCGTTACCCAATCAGCTGCGACAAGTCTGTAAACACGTCATTAAAAAGGCAGGAAAATGCAGCGCGCTTGCGTTCACGACAGGGTGGTGAGGCACCACGGCTCTGTCTGCGGTGAACGCGCCCCTGGTTGCAAGAAATAAACATGGCGGCGGCCAAACTGTCAAACTGGAGGCTGCAAACCAGCAGGTGACGTCACGGCGGCTACGTCCCCTTCTTCTTTTATAAGAAAGAAAAAGACAAACCAAAAACTCCAGTCTGACGTCATCACGCAACATCCAGACGTCACTCAGGTACAGAGGACACACGTGAGTTTACCTGACAGTGCGCGCGCACATATACACACACACACACACCTGCACATTGTTTGTGTGCAGAATAGGTATGACCTCACACACACGCGCGCGCACATGCAGTCAGATGGCAGGTAACATTAAAAGAAGAGCGTGGTGTCATCCCTGATGAAGACCATGATGAAGACCATGATGAAGACAGAGGTCACAGTTTAACCCGCTCCCTCTCTAATTACCTGAGCAGCACGCATCCCGCCCCGCCGGGTCACACGCCGCACTATTTAAATATGTGCAGAGATAATTGGTCAAACCCCCCCGGACGGCCGCCATGTTGCGCCAGTATTTACAAAAAACCCGCATCGGTGCAAAGGAGCAGGAAAAAAAAGGCGCAAGCGAACAAAGGGAGAGCGGAGGTCTGCGGGGAGACGCGGGCGCTATGCTAGCTGGTTTGCGGTAAAACGTCAACGCGGACAAACGGCCCGTTAAACGGCTCGTCCGGCGGTGCCGGAGGCCGCAGTTTCTTACCGATGCAGCAGTCGGTGTCGCCGCACAATCCCGATCAACCGCCGTGACTCCAAATTGATCCGCTCTGCCTCAGTTTGCGTCTCCGCTGCGTTAAGCTAGCTGCGCTAAGATGGAGGGAAGGCGGAAGTGGGGCGGCGGGGCCGTCAAAATAAAAGCGAGAATTTTGATGCAATGTGATTTTTTTTGTTGTTGTTGTTGTTGTTGCGGAACAAAGGGATAGCACAGATTGAATTCAGAAATGTTACATATATTTACATTTACCACGGCATTCTAAATTTATTATCATTTAGCAAATGATTTAACTTTAATCTGGAACCTTTTGTGATTAAATTTGATCTCGCTGTGAATTTAAATCATTCCCACAAAAAAACTGAATCATTCGCTTTTGACTCGCCAGGTATGTGTACACATACGAGGAATTTGACTTTTACAGTACTGTCAGTGTCTGTGAAGGTTCTCAGTCATCCAGGTCATTGTTATTCAAAGAAGGTTAAAGTCTACGTTAACCTTCAGTGTACAGTACAATTTACAGTGTCAATACGCAAAACAAGCATAAACAAACAGGACAACAAGCTCAACAAAAACAGACACAAACTACAGTGTACATAAAAAGTAAACACGTAGACGCCATGAACAAAAACAACATGACACAGCATGACAATAGTAAAGTGAAATAGTGCAAACAATGCTGGAATAAATAAGCCTACATATATTTTTGTGCAGTAATTATGCAATATGTTATGTACATGAGGCAGGTGGATGTAATATATATATATATTATGTACAGTATGAATAACTACTGAATTGCTAGGAAGAGTGTTATTGTTTTAGGTCTTCTTCATTTCTATGGTTTAGCTCAGCTCTTTTTTCTCTTGTTTTTGTGCTGGTAGGACTGTTTCCAGGAGGAAATCTTTTATATGATTGCATGTCTGCATAATTCTGATTTGTGGCACGTGTGTGTTATATGTAGGCCTGTATATGTGTAACACAGAGGCTGTGATGCGTGTAAATGAGTCTTTCGTCATCAAACAGAAGTTAAAACACAGTGCAGGTTGTTGTTGGTGTCCAGTTAATGGAGTTCATCTCTGTTTGAGTTTCCTTCACCTCACTGTGGCTCTGTGTTGAATGTAGAGCAGAAATGGTAAATCACTTATTAATTAGAGATTACCAGAAAATGTATCAGACAAAACAAGCAATTTCTGTAGTTTTAAAAACAAAGCAATGACTTGATTAATTAAGAAAATGTACACACTAATCAATAATAAAAATAATTGTTAGTTTTACTCCTAACCCTGCTTTAATGCATTGAAACCACGTTCACTTGTGCAAAGGCACAACAGTGACCACTAAAACTTATATGTGTTTATATACATAATTATGATCTTTTTCGATTAACTAATTAAAACCATCACAATTTGGTGTATGAACTGTCGCTTGTTCGCATGGTTTTATTTGGAAATGCTCAGACAGGAAGTGTAATTTATCACGCCGTTGCCTTGACACTGGTTGTTGTGCAGCTTTTACGTTGAAGCCAAAAAATTCTTCCACCGCCGAGTCCCGCCTTTCTGCCGCTTGCTAAATAGTGATCGAGCGGAATATGAGCGGCGCTGTTCGCCGTTGGGACTTCCTGCCAAATACTGAGATCCCCCCGTTGACCTGTTTTTTCCACAGATGGAGCCGTTACAGCAGAGTAATTTGAGCGCGAACACTATTTTGTCTTTGTTTTGCGCTGAGGTGTTAAATTTAACGGCACAATACGCGTATGTACGTCGGTAAATTAATAAAACATAATCTGCATTGCAGTGAGGACGTTGGCGCGGCAGGCGGCGCGCTCTTTAGAAAGCTATGGAGAACTGTATGTGTATTGGCTGATCCAGAGTCAGATGTTAGCTGTTGCCCGCGGTGATGGAGAGGCCGATCTGAACAGAAAGCTGATCTGGGAGCAGCTATCGTGTTGCTGTCACATCCGTTGGAGGAGGCGCGGCGCATTTGGGGGCACGCGTTCGTTTTAATGTCAAAAAACGTCCCCGTCGGGCGGTGTTAAACACATTTTAAACGGACATTGATCCAAATGAGGCGACAGCGTCGTCCGCCCGGAGAACTCTGGTGATAAAAACATAGCGACGAGCTGGTAAATGTACAATCAGAGCAGCAGCGGAGGAATGTGTGGTGAAAAACGAAAGCCAGAGTATTTTACCGCCCCGGTAACGCGTCGACTTCTTCTTACCTGGAGCCCATGATAGCGCAGACACGTAGTTACACTCAACACCGCGGGACACCCTGGAAGAGACGGAGAAACCTCAGGAGGACGCCGGCCAACATGGAGTCCAAGTGAAAATCGTTACGGCAAGATGTGAGATGAACCTGGAGAAAACCGCGACCGAGGCCAACGACGTGATGTTGGTCCGGAGCTCGGTAAGAAAATGCGCTAGCTCGGCTCGGGTCAGGCTAACGTCTCCTCTGTACCACAAAAACGACGAATTTTAAATAATTCAAAAGAGTTGACAGCTGCTGTAACGTGACGGACAGACGTCTGTTTAATAACACGGACGTGATGCTGAGGTGTTTGATGCTGACAGCCGTAGATTCACGTAAACGCTAACGTTCAACCGAAGGTGTTTGCTAGCGAGGATGTGAGGAAGTCCGCCTGGTAAGCTAAGCTAACGTTAGCCAGCTCGCGTTTACTCCGGGTAAACTTTAACAACTAACCACAAGCTGCGAGGTGGTTTGTTTATTATTATTATATAGGAGCTGTTTCACGGTTCAAAACATTAGCTGTCAGTCTTTTAGCGCTAAAGGCTGCTGTTTTTATCCAGTAACGTAACTCGGGTCCACATGAAAAACCACTACCTAGAGCTGTCAGATCTGGACTAGATGACTCCAGAGATGATGAAGTTTCTTTAAAACATAGTTTCAGATTTGTGAAACCTCTCATTTTATTAGTGAAAAAGAAGATTTATTATATTGGTTTGTTTTTTCCGGCATGTAGACCACATTAAACCAGGTCCCGATCTAAAACCACCAGACTTAGTGCTGCCAGAGCTGAACTAGATTGCCCCAGAGAGGCTAAAGTTTCTTTAAGAAACAGTTTCATGTTTGTGAAATCTCTTTTCTACTTGTGAAATTGCAAAAAAAAAAAAACCCGGGGCCATTTGTATGTTGTTTTTTGCATGTAGACCACAATACACCAGGTCCAGATCAAAAACCCACCATGCCTAGAGCTGTCTAATCTGGACTAGAGAGCCTAAACTTTCTTTAAAACTTTGTGAAACCTTTTAACAGCAGAAGCTGGGCAATAAAATAGAATTAACAAATTCACAAACGCATGACAAACACAGCTTCACATCTGAAGAGTCTCGGGTTGCGTTCATGCTTCTTTATCTATTATTTTCCTTCCTGATTAATCCAGACCAAAAGCCTCCATCAGTCTATATATATAAACAGACACTCTGAGCTGAGTTTCCTCTGTAATGAGCAGGAAACAGATCGTCATCATCACTGACGCCTGTAGGCTCACACCTCCAGAGGTTTTCACATCTATCTCGTATGCAGGTTGTGAACAAGCCGCTGCTTTTTCATTGCATCCTGAGGCTTTAAATGGTGGAAGACTTTACGCTCAGAATCTGGACACTGAAATGAAACGGTAAACAGGCAGTGGTGTAGCAGTGGAGCAATAAAAACTCCTCCCAGAGACATCTATAATAGATGGACGGACGTAGATTCCTGTGTAATGAATGCAAACCAAAAAGAATAATAAAATGCATTCATAGACAGACATGTTATCAAATCTATCTAGTACCTTTTAATAATTTCATACATTCATTTTCATACTGTAAATTACGTGTTAAATAACAATAACATTTATCCACATCAGGGCTGCACAATATTTGAAAAAACAGATTTTTCTGCTATAAATATATGTAGTGATGTGAAAAAACACAGGAATTGTCAACAGATGACTTCTGTGGCTCCATTTAAAAAAGAATTAAGCATCCTAGAATCATTGGGGGGATGATGTAGAGAAAATGCATAGAAAATAAAAATAAATGAGCTGAAAAATGTAAATTTTGAGTGCAAACTATCTTTTCTTGAACAAAATAAAAGAGCAGCTAAACACCAGACTGGTTTACTGAAGTTTCTTTCTTTTGGCAAACAAATCCGCTGTTTCGGTCGTTTTCTCTTGTTCCTCAATCATTTTCAAGTTTTTCAAAGTTGTTATTAAAAACTAACGGGGGCGGGGCCTGCTTTGGTTGTTTGATAGACTGATCAAGAACAATACTGTGATTGGTGGTTTGCGGTGCATGCAGAGCCTGCCTGTCGGCAACAAACGCCATGTATTCAAGAACATCAGAGCAAATGATGTTCATCAGACTTCTGTAGATTAGTCGTGGAAAATGAGAACTGCGAGTTTTTCTTCTGGTGATGATGCTGAAACGTTATGTTGTGCAGCCCTTCTGCACATTATTCTAGTACAAAAAACCCATCAGGGCCTCAAACGTTTTATAAATATATAAACGGACCCGACGCTTAATGGTCCTGATATTATATGTGCATTAACGTCCTTCCTTTGCATGTAACAGAAACTGCTTAGCTGCCGTATCAGGCTGTTATTTGGACTTTGTTCAGAAATAACAGATTTGTTACGACAGCACGTGATACATACATGAGTGTAAATGTGGTTCGCCGTTTAAGTGCTTTTCTAAATCTCTCATCCAAATGGATCTGAGAAAAGCAAAATGAGACGAGCGGTAAGAAACGTTTCTGCATCACCAAAAGGAGAAGAAACATGCGGGCGTCTTGCTGGAGTCAACAGCTATGGAAGTTTATCAGATTTGCACAGGAAGTGAATTTGATTCCTACGGATGAATAGTTAATGTTTTCGGCCTCTCTTTCTCGCCGCAGCACGGCCGGGGCCGGGCCAAAGTGACTCATGCGGTGGTGGTGATCTTCCTGGAGTTCTTCGCCTGGGGGCTGCTGACCACGCCCATGCTGACCGTGAGTAAACATCAACACAAACATCGCTTCATAAAGTTCACCTGCCAGTCCTGCCTCCATCTCTGGGAGGAAGTGCACTCTAACAAACACTAAAAACTCAGCAGCTCAGTCTTCTGCAGTCCTCCTTTTTAATTAAAGGGTAAGTTCACATAAGTGTGTCTTAATTCACTGCTCACGTGGCGTGCGTGCAGTAAAACGGGATTGTTGCTGCTGAGATCTGAAAGGATTTCTTTGTAAGTGATGGGGAACAAAATCCACAGTCCTGGTTCTGTAACCTCTGAAGTTAATACGAGGCTCCGGCAGTCTGACTTCACGTGGGTTCATCTAAACTTAGTACAGAAGGTCGCTCTGAATGTTGCACTAACTGACTTGGATTTCCTGACAGAAGTGACCTCATCTCGAACCAGTCTGTCTTGAAGTTCAATGCCCGTCATTTTTACAAAATATTTCACTGATATGTATCAGCATATGTATAGCTTTGCTCTATACAACATAAGGAAAATCAGGCCCTACCTCACTCAGTACGCCACCCAGCTTCTGGTACAGGCATGGTTATCTCTCGCCTCGAGTATTGCAATGCCCTCCTAGCAGGTCTTCCAGCTTGTGCAGTGAAACCCTTACAAATGGTTCAGAACGCAGCAGCATGTCTCCATTACTCAGTGACCTCCACTGGCTCCCCGTGGCCTCCTGAATCAAATTCAAGTCACTAATGCTGCATACAGAGTGACTCCTGGGTCCCATCTATCTAAACTCCATGATACAAACTTACGTTCCTTCTCGGCCGCTACGCTCCTCCAACGAACGCCGCCTGGCTCTACCATCCCTTCACACAAAGCAATCCCAGTCCCTGTTCTCATCTGTGACACCACGATGGTGGAACGAGCTACCGCACGCCATCAGAGCAGGGGCGTCCCTCTCTAACTTCAAGAAGCTCTTGAAAACTCATCTCTTCCGAGAACACTTCCTCTTATAACACCTCTAACTCCAAACCACTAACATGCACTTCCTGTCCCCTACAATGATCTTGTTTTGATTGCACTTTTTGTTAACTCTCACTTCCTTCTCTAGGTATCTACCCCATTGATGTGATATGTACTATGAGCTCTTACTAGTATTTATTGCTGCTCTTACTAGTATTTATTGCTGCTCTTACTAGTATTTATTGCTGCTCTTACTAGTATTTATTGCTGCTCTTACTAGTATTTATTGCTGCTCTTACTAGTATGTATTGTCAGTTGTAGATCTGTAGTTGATGCTTGTATGTTGTTCCTCAAATGTAAATGCCAAAAGAGTAAATGTAAATGCTTGTCCCAGTACGTTACTGGACTGGAGGCAACTTTCAGACCATAAGTAGAGCACAGGTAGTCTTTGTGCTAAGCTAGGCTAATCTTCACCTCTCTGTACCGGACACACAGAAGTGAAAGTGACGCCCATCTGAAACGCCTGACTTCAAGAAAGGACGCAAACAAGCATGTTTCCCTGAGTTTGTCCTCCAGGTGAAATGAGTTTAAGAACGTCGTCAGTCAGGGAGGACTCTCTGTCCTTCAGCAGCCTCAAACTCTGCAGGTCTGAGTGCTGATGTGTCACAGGAAGTAAAGCGTTTCCTCCATTTTCTTAATTTATCACACGGCTGACTCATCAAGGTGCCCTTTAACGTGGTTGATAGTTATCTGTGCCAGCGAGTTAAAGAGGAAGTTAGCAGACAGACAGAGATGGACTTCAGGATTCACAACTTGGATTCATTTTTATGAAAAGCTGTTACAGACTATTTGAAGTTTTACTGTATGTCAGTGTGGTCAGGGATGTGAAGATACCAGAAATTCATTAGTCAACACCAGTAAAATTCCACGATTGTCTATAAGCAGTGAGAAAATGAAAGCAGTGAGAGGATGTCCAGGACAGATGAGAGGTGGTTTGATGTCAATTTATTTATAAATGAGCAAACTGTTGAGAAATAAGCTGTTGAAGGTCACAGCCGTGAACTCCCCCCCCCCCCCCCCACCGGTAAAGTCGAAGCTGCAGACGCACTTGTCTCCATCTTCCATGTATCTGATCCCTGATGAATCTGTTCTTGTGTCATCCCTCGACATGACTTGTTGTTGTTGTTGTTGTTTCAGGTCCTCCATGAGACGTTCCCTCAGCACACCTTCCTGATGAACGGCCTGGTTCAGGGGGTGAAGGTAAGACCAGCACAACCTTTAATTATAAAACTCTGAAGGAATCCTGTCGGGGATGTTTCACTGTCACAGCAGCAAAACAGGAAACGGTAAATAATATAAAGTAACAAATGAGCAAGAATATATTTTAGTAGTAAAAGACGATCCAGCGGTGAGGGGAAGGTAAAAACAGGAGAATATATTGAGTCAGAGCAGCTTTCACAGATGTTGACCCGGTTGTGATCCTCAGCTCAGAGTACCTGTCTGATGCTAAATCTGCGTGGCTCGCTGTGGATGTTATTTGAGCCGTTGAAGCAGAAGGACAAGCCGGACATGCGACGCTACCAAGACGACCAATCACAGTTCTTGTATTCTGCGGTTCTGCGACGTGCAGTTAAATGTTTGAGGAAAGTGCGCGCATATAGATTAAATGCAGAAGTATAAAATAGCTTTGAGTTTTATGGTCATTTCCTGTTTCTTGTCGTCTCCACGCCATGAGCCGTCTAATTTACTAAAAGCAGTAAATGTTCAACTAAAGATTGTTTGCATTATATTTGAGTCTGCAGATAATTTTCTTGATGACGACGTCTTGTTTTGTCCAAAACCCCCCAAAATAATTCACTTCATTAAATGTGAGACCAAGAACAGCAGCACGTTCTTACATTTGAGAAGCTGGAACCATCAGACGTTTGGGGTTCCTGCTTGAAAATGACTTTAACTGTTTGCTTAATTTTTAAATCAATGTTTGTTTTTCTGCGTTCCTGTTCAGGGCTTCCTGTCGTTTCTGTCGGCACCTCTGATTGGTGCGCTGTCAGACATCTGGGGCAGGAAGTCCTTCCTCCTCATGACGGTCTTCTTCACCTGCGCCCCCATCCCTTTCATGAGGATCAGCCCGTGGTGAGTCACTCTGTGTGTTTAACGTCATTTAACCTTTTAAATGTCCTCTTCTGTTTGAGCATCTCTTATTAAATGCAGCTGGAAAATATTTTTCCAGCTCAGCGTTAATGTCAAATGCTGGTTTCCCTTTTATCGCTGAGAGCTTCTGTGTGACCTCATCCGCTTTGTCCAGCTAAACGTGGTTACCGGAGGGTTTGTGAATCCCCCGTGTGGCCGTTCATGCAGCAGATCTCTGTCAGCGCTCCTGCTGAAGTCCAGTTTGTTCCTGGAAGTAATTTAAACCGATCCTCTGACATCAGATCGGCTTATACGACACTAAACGCCTCCATCGCGGCGTCTGAAGTGACACGCCTCCTGTATGGCAGCCGCTCTGCAGGCGGCGTCACGTTTGTAACGGTCGGTTTCATTATTGATGAGTCTGTTGGTTCGAGTCCAGGCTGACGTCTCGTTTACTGTCAGACGAAGCTGAGAAAAGCAGAAAGGATTGTTGGTGTTTACGCCTGATGAATGACTTAAATGATTAATCAACTATCAAAACTAGCTGTTAATTAATTTCCTGACAGTTGTGTAATTGATTAATAGTTTCAGCACTACTTGATCTTCACTGATCAGACGTAACAACAGAATGAACCGATGTTTAATATTTTAATCTTAAGAAGACGGTTCAGTCCAAACTAACACTTGGTGGGTTTATACTATATATAGGTATAGATCTCACAGAATCTCGCGTGATCAAACGTGACTTCAGACAGAAACGAAACATGGAGGCAGACTGTCGTCGTCAGCTGGTTGACCTTGTGTGTGTGCTGTGTTAAAAGAACAGAATCAAACTGTGGATGAACTCGAGGCTGAAAAGAGGGACTCTGTTTATTTCATAGAGCAGAGACACAACACGCCGGAGACGCTTCCTGCCCAGCTCGCTCTCATTGGCTGTTGCAGGGTTTGTGATCGGAGGCGACCTAAAGATTATGTCTGTAAAACAGGATAATTTGGGCTGGAAATCTTTATAGACCAGCCTCAAGCTCAGGAACGAGCTACCTGGTTTAATATCAGCTGTGAAACTGAGATGTTGGGTGTGTCTGAAGCAGCTTCCTCTCAGGGGAAGAACTGAAATCAAAGACATTCATGTTGAGATTTTTGTTCCTGAACGTTAATACTTGAGTTAATGTCTGCAGCGTCTCTTCGTGAATCTGATCTCACGTCAATTTAATAGATTTGTCCATCAACAGAAAATTATTTTGCATCCCTTTTGAGTCATTTTTTAAGAAGACAAAAGCAGCCGGTCTGCTGTGAGAGCCGTTCCTCTGTTTTATATGTTGTACAAGTTTATTGAATAGGACAAACCCTTTGAGTGCAGTCCTGAAACACTATACAAAACAAGAGACAAATCAAACGCATTACAATCATAAGAAAGACAAAAACGAAACCACAATTTACACACTACAATGAAGACGAACAAAGGAACATCAAAAGATAAGTACTTAAAAGAATAAAACCGCTCGATGGCCACAAAGAGGCACGGCCTCTTTGTGGCCATCGAGCGGTTTTAACTAATACTTGCTCAGCAAAACAGAGAAGAAAGAAGATGGTGTAAATTATATATATATAGGTAAACCATCATCTGAAACATGAACAATTTAACTCAAAATAAGCAGACAAACTATTTTTAAATATGTGAAATGACGTTGAAGATCGTATGTTTGAGTTCTTCCAGTCTGAAGGAGCCTTAAACATAAACAATCTCTTTCCTCTTGCTTTTCTGACTATAGGAGTGGGAAACAAGTAATGTGCAGAATGCCTCAAATTATATATTGGTACTAAAAACCGTTAAAATGAACACATTTAAATATGAGTTGCAGACAATGAATCACACGTTTTGGACTGTTTGTCGGACAAAACGAGACACTAGGTGACGTCTCCGTGGATGGACCTTGATCCCGGTTTCCAGCAGCCCCGGTCTGATCTCTACGCTCGGGCTTCGGGGCGGTTGCACTTTGAACAGTCACATGCTGTTCATGTGAGCGGCCGAGGATCAGGGACTTAAAACTCACGGCCCTCGCCTGCTGATCTCGCACACGGCGTCATGTGTTCTTCTTGGAAAGTGAACAGTGTATTTGCTGAATGCATGAAACATGAGCAGAAGCATTGAATGTCCCTTTGTTTTCCCCCGAAAGGTCCCTGGATTTCATAGAAACCGCAAACTGTATAACATCTAGACCACAAAAAACATTTGTCTAAAAACTATCTTTGTTTGTCAAGATAAAAAGATGAACTTTGATTTGATCTGAAAGAAAGTTCTGAGTTAGTGTAATCCGCCCTGCAGAAACTCACAAGACATTTCACTTTGACGTCTTACTTAATGCAGCCTTAAAGCGCCGGCAGGGCAGAAACAAACACATTTAGATGTTAAAATTATTTCTGAATTATTAAAAGGAAATGCTAAAAGCTTTGTCGTATTAATTTTCCATCAATCACAAGTCAGAATCTTTAAATGTCTCCTGGAAGAGAAATTAGTTTTGGATGAAAGTGACGTCTTTTTGAATTACTAAGTTTATTCGGACTTTTATTTTTTTTTTTTTTACTTGATGGTGTAGATGACACAAAGCAAAACACACAGTTTAAACATTTTATTTTTTTACCAGAATTTGAAATGGGCAGTTCTGAAAACGCAGAACTCCGCTCCCGAGCCTGTTGAACTGTTTATTTTTATTTATTCAGCTTAATTTCGCAGGGATAGTGCTGCTTGTAAAATATCCACGTGCAAAAAAAAAGCAGACTCCCGTTACCTTTGAAGCGCTCGTTAAGTCCGAATGTGTCCGTTCCTTGATTATTTATCTTCCTTTAGTCTGTAAGGGTCCAACGACCAAAAGAATCAAAACAGCTTTTCATAAAAATGAATCCAACTCTCAGCTTCTGCCACACGTCTCTCATCCCGCACCCTGTTGTTGTTTTCGTTACGTTGCTGCCTTCAAAATAAAAGTGCATAAGCCGTCTGTCGGAGCCAGAGCAAACGAATTGGTGTATTTGATATAATATTTTTATACAAGTAATATTCATACTGTTGGTAATAAATAAAGTGTTTTTCATAGTAGTTTCAGTTTTGTGCCTGTCCCAAATATATGCAGGGTCAATTCAGTGATTTTTAGCAAATAAAAGCTATTATTCGAAGTTTATACAGCCTGCCTCCTCTTCCTGAGACGTGTCCCAGCAGCTGCAGTGTTAGTTTTGATATCGAGGATAATTACAAGATCACGTTGCGTCCAAACGTCCTCTTTCACCCAGAAATCTTAAGAGATCCTGAACATGCTGTTGATGGAAGTATCTGCAGAGATGCCCGCCCTGCTCTACGGATTTCAAGTCTTTGTTGGGTTCAGACCCCAGCATAGCTTCATTTTAATAGTTTTTGATGCAGATTTGATCATTGCTACATATCACGAATCGTAATATCTGTATATTAGTAGTATATTGGCTGTATGATTTGTTTTTGTACCACATGGTGCAGCCCTGCTGCTGTTTTAGTGCGATGTGTGTCTGAGCTGCTGTTTCCTGTCTGTGTGTGCAGGTGGTATTTCGCTCTGATCTCCGTCTCTGGGATTTTTGCTGTGACCTTCTCGGTGATCTTCGCCTACGTAGCTGACATCACAGAGGAGCACGAGAGGAGCACGGCCTACGGACTGGTAACTCCCGCCACACACTGCACATTTCATCAGCCAGGAAGCGTGTTTAGCTTTGTGGCAGAACTCTTTCACAGAGCGATATAATGCCGAGACGACGGCTTTTAAAGATGAAGCCTCTGAATGTTGCAGAACAAACTGGAGTTCATGGTGTTTCCTGCAGTGAACCGGCGTCACAGACAGGACAGGAAGTAAAAAAGGACTCTGATGTCGTCTGTGTGCTTTATGTTGAGCCGAAAGGACCAGAAGTGGTCGTGTTTAGGGCTGCAACGTTTTATTACTCTATTAATTTAACAATTTATCCAAACGTTTTATACAATCACACTGAAAAAGGACACAAAGCTCATTAGAATAATAATAATAATGGAAGTAAATGTTAAAATGAGTCTTACTTCCACCTCACTGCTGTGTTATGACATTAACAATAATAATAACATCAGACCCTGTGTGTCAGACGCCTGATCAGAAAAATACTGGACCTCTAATTCAAAAGGATTCTGGGATTAATTGAAACTCCCCCTCTGTGTGCGTTTGTGTCTCGTCAGGTCTCGGCGACCTTCGCGGCCAGTTTGGTGACGAGCCCGGCCATCGGGGCGTACCTGTCCGCGCAGTACGGCGACAGCCTGGTGGTCCTGATCGCCACGGTGATCGCCGTGGCCGACATCGCCTTCGTGTTCTTCGTGGTCCCGGAGTCGCTGCCGGACAAGATGCGGCTGACGTCCTGGGGCTTCCCCATCTCCTGGGAGCAGGCCGACCCCTTCGCCGTGAGTACAGACACTGAAACCACCCACAGCAGGGGGTCGGAGGTCACGGTTAACCAGCTGATCCTCTACATGCAGATCATGAAACATTATACCAACACTGCATATTTCACAGCTGCTTGTTGTGTGTGTGTGTTCAGTCTCTGCGTCGAGTGGGGAAAGACAGCACAGTGCTGCTGATCTGTGTCACAGTGTTCCTGTCCTACCTGCCTGAGGCCGGACAGTACTCCAGCTTCTTCCTCTACCTGAGACAGGTAACTCACACGCACACACACGCACACGCACACAGTGTCAGTCAAGCAGCAGCCAACATTTGTTCCACACACCCATGTCGGCAAACTGAGCTGTTCAGGATCTGGGTCCTTGAACTTCATGGAAAACTGCTACTTCCTGGAAAACGCATCATCACCGAGGTAGAAGTAAACATCAGCAGCCAGACAGCCGACGCCTCCTGCGCTCCGTCGAGCCGTCAGTCCAAACACAGGCGGCGGCTGCTGCATTACTGCAATTTGCAGCTCAAGCGGTGACGACATATTGGACTAAAAAGTCAGTTAAAACCAACATTTCCATCACCAAAACAGACATTTTCAGGTCTAAAATTAACAAATAATTGAAGAAGTTTTGTTTGTTATTTCACTGTAGGATCAACAGATGACCAGCTGCTCTGTCTGCCTTCATTAATATTATATAATAAAGTCCAAATAAAGCTTCTGAGGATGTATTAACAGGCTGCTCCGGGGTGTTAACTGTAGAAATAAGTTTCATTTCCTTCCACTGCTGCAGAATAACTTGAAGTTCAGTCATTATTGATCCCTGAAATTTACATCATGTCTCAGTTTTGCTGACCTAAACGTCGTCTTCACCTTCTTTATTCTGCTCTGGGACCGTCTCGTCCTTTCTGCACGTTCGCTTCACAGCAGCGTGTAGCCACAGCTTAGCTGAAGTCACCTACATTACTCGCCGTTTATATGGTAGCGTTTCTCCGTTCAGGTCAGAGTAGTAGGTCGACCTCACGGTAAACAGGAAACATGGCTAACCGTGACAAACGGATGTTTCTTGTGTTCACACAACTGAACTCTCCGCCGTGTTCATTCAAAAGACTTAAATATGTTACTTGCTCTTCGATGAATGTTGTAAATTTCTTTTTCTCATGAACAGTTTTAACGTTTGTGCAGATGGCTTTCACCGTAACCAGCTACCTGATGACACTGGCCACGTGTGTTGACACATGTTCATGTTTTTTTTTTACTTTATGTGTGAATTAAATACAGTCAGATGTATTTTTTGATCCCTCATTGACTGATCGATCGATTTTACTCCCTTTCAACTCCAAGTCATGCAGCAACACGGACAGGAAACGTTTCACCTTACAGCTGTAATGAAAGTTAAAATGTTCTCCTAACTAATGAAGATGTTCAGACCATGAAAACAGTTAATTTAGTAAATTTCCCTCCCTCAATATGACATTATTACATTGATGACATGCATGTGAGTCACTGACAGACATGTTTTGTGTGTTTCAGGTGATTGAGTTTTCTCCTGCAGCCATCGCTGCCTTCATCGCCATGGTGGGAGTCCTCTCTATAGTCGCTCAGGTACAGAAACAACCACACAGGCTAAAATACTGGAAACCATCTGAATGTTTGAGAAAATAAAAAGAGCAGACAACAAATGAAAACACAAATGTCCTGATTTCACTGAGCTGCCTGTAACAGATTAGGACAGAGAGGCTTTACACCAGTGGGTAATTCCTCTACCTTGTCATTACGTCAAACGTCCTCTGAGCCAAATTGAAATTGCGTTTTTAGATGTAAATGATTTTCTGAAGGCGGCGGTCTGGCAGAGTTTCGTGCAGTGGGTGCAGCTTGTTGTTTGTGCAGTGATGTGGTAGCAGAGGTCTGATCAGGAAGTCGTGCGGTCGAGGGTTTAAGATGCTGCAGAACAAACATCTTGGGCTGCGCCTCATGTTTCCTCCGTAGTTGTTTGGGTCAAATTAAGTCCAGCTGAAATCACAATTCATTTGATTTCTTTGGGGTAATAATAATAAACATGTTGTTCTAATAGAGCATCAAAATAAGCTCCCTGTGTTCTTCTGTACATATGGAGTGAGTAGTGGTGCAATATAAAATGGTAATTTTTGTTTTGACAAGGTAGCATAAACATCTGAAATATAAATTTCTCCCTTTTGGTTTCTATTTCTTTCTCAGGACGAGGCTGCAGCAGACAAACGTCACATTTCATTTAATTATATCTGACTGTACATATATCATGAAACGTCCAACATAATGTTTGAATGTCTGAATTTGTGGCCTGTGTATTTCCTGTTCTCTCCATCAGACTCTGTTCCTCGGCATTTTAATGAGGACCATCGGTAATAAGAACACAGTTCTTCTGGGTCTGGGCTTTCAGCTCTTCCAGCTGGCCTGGTACGGCTTCGGCTCCGAGCCTTGGTGAGTGCGTCGTGTTTCCCGGGACGTGCAGTCGTTTCTCGTACATGTGTGTGTTCGGACCATAAAAACAAACTCTGCGTCTCTGCTCTCTTCTGTTTCAGGATGATGTGGGCAGCAGGAACAGTAGCAGCCATGTCCTCCATCACATTCCCAGCAGTCTCTGCTCTGGTGTCACACAGTGCGTCACCTGACCAGCAAGGTCAGTCCACCTGTCTGTCGTCCGTCCCGCCTCCTCTGTCTCTGTGAGAGTTTCACGCATGTGTGATGATGTATTCTCGGTGTGTGTGTGTGTCTCAGGTGTGGCCCAGGGGATGATCACAGGTATCAGAGGTCTGTGTAACGGGTTGGGTCCCGCTCTCTACGGCTTCATCTTCTTCCTCTTCAACGTGGAGCTGAACGACATGGAGCCGGTGGCGGGACGACCCGCTCAGAGCACAAAGGTACATTCGCACGCACACGAACAGGAATTCCCCAACTTGACCTGAAGCCAAAGGATCCTCCATTGTGTCGAGAGTAAAACTTTACACCCAGGTCCTCCGAGTTAGAGACCGGGATGCAAACCAGGTTTGTTCCTCGGCTTCTGGGATTTCTGAGAAGTTGTGGGAGAGACCTCTTTCATTTCGGCCTCTCGCTGTATTGTTTTAATCAAAACTACGTTTCCAGAGAACAAACGAACAGAATGAAGCCGGTCGGTTAGTGACTTTCCATGTCATCTGGTCAACATGTTAACGTGTCCATGGCGTTCCCATCAGCCTCAGCTGTACTCTACTCTGTTTAAAGCTAATGAGCTAATGTTAGCATGCTAACCTGCTAAACATCAACAATAAGTCCTGCAAACAAAGACAACGTCTTCCCGCACTTTTCACACCATGAAGAAACTAAATATCCGGTTTCCTGCCGTCTCTTTGTCATGATGTTCTACTTTTTAATTGACAGGATTCTCGCTCTCTCTCTCTCTCTCTCCCCCCCCCGTAGAAGTCGGTCATCCCCGGCCCGCCCTTCCTGTTCGGAGCGTGTGCCGTCTTACTCGCTCTCCTCGTGGCCGTCTTCATCCCCGATCACCCGGTGACCGACATCAAGACCTGCTCCGTCCGCAAGTCCAGCAGCTCCTCCGCTGCGCACGCTCAGAGTGCCGGCCCCCTGGCCACGCCCACGAGCGACGCGGAGGACATCGAGCCGCTCCTGCAGGACAGCAGCATGTGACTGACGGCCGGCCCGGCCAATCACAGCACTGGGGCCTGAAGCCCTGTCTGCTAGTCCCGCCCCCCTTGAGAAGAAATCTTTCCCAGCTTTTTATTTTTTTATTTCTACAGACTGTTCAGATAAGAGAGTCAGGTAACGTTAGGCGGCCATCACACTGACCAGCTTCATTTCTTTACTGACGTTTATCCCCTTTGATGAACTCGTCCTTTCACCTCGGCTCCTAACGATTTAGATTCTAACTTGAAATGCCAGATATAAACGGGCCGGTAGTCTGGTTCTGTTCTGGTTTCCTTTCTCAGATCTAGAAAGGTAAACGGCTTCTTCGTGGTCGTCGTCCCTCCGCAGCTGCTGAAATCTAAATCTTGGTTTCCCCCGTCGTTAATTTTCATGCAGCCCCTGCTGGTTTTTTACAGCAACATACAACTTTTATCTTATTAAAATGACCTGTTTTTCCACTTTTGATGAAGCTCTGCTCAGTTGTTTTATACACCTACAGCCTTTTGGACAGATTTAACCAAAGGGCTTCAAACCCTCAGTGGGACCAATAACAGGAAGTCCAAACGAGAGCGAGAAGCAGAGAAAACAACAATCGTGTTTGTGTAGGGCCCCGTCGCCGAATCACAAAATATGTGTGTAGGGACTTCTAACAACAAAACAAATTGTTTACTGCTGTCGGTTGTTTGTATTTTCCCTCCGCTGTTTTTAGTTCCTCTTTTGTAAGACGTTTGCGAGTCGCAGCTGCTACAGGTGTGAACTCCAGCCTCCTTCATCTGGTGTAGATACTCTTGACGGGGTCATGAAACGCTGACGGGGGGGCCGTCGTGCTCTTGAGGGGGGCGAACGCTTCGTGAAAACGTATCGCTTGTGAGTTATCTCTGTGAAGTGCGACGCTCCCGGCGGCGGCCTTTCAGTTTCTGAAATCAACTCACGTTTTTCGAAGCCGTCAGTCTGGTTGCCGCCTAAACACGCTGGGGTCAGTTTGCCTCCCCTCTCTCTGTGCACATGCTTCACCCTAACTCCACCCGTCGGGTCTGCAGAGGTCACAAGCTCAAACGCTCCTCGCTGTACAGGACAGCAGCGAGGAGGAGGGTGTGAGTTGAATTCACTGCACAGCCGACTGTCCCCAAAAGGACGGACTTTTCACCGGGACAAAGACACACGGGGAGAGGACGGTGCGGTCAGAGCTGCTCGGCATTGTGGGACACGCAGCAGAGGAAGTCATCGCCTGCAGGGGGCAGCGTCGTTCTGTCTGTCTGTCGCTGCTGTTTGTCTCCACATGCTGACAGTTTACACAAATATCAGGACTGTTACCGCAACAACTCGCTCACACTGAGCATGTGCAAGCTCCGGCCGTCTGTGACATCATCCTCCTCCTCCTGCTGGAGGAAACGGCGTCCGGTCGGAAACCTGGATTATATTTATGAAATGAAACCGTTTGAAGTGCTTCTGCGGCGCCAGGAGGGTGTACGGGAAAAAAATTATTTGTATGCACGATTTACTAACTTGCTGCTGTGGGTTTTAATATCGGTTTATATATTTTTTTGCCAAAGTTTTTATAGCAAAAACATCTTTTATCCTGTAAAAAGTCCGCCACACATCTGAGTTTAGAGAGTGAAGGAAACCCGACACGAAGCTGATAAGTTAAATCCAGAGCTGCTGAATCGTGCACACCGATTGGTTTCTTTCTTCCCCGACTCCGTGCGCTCGGTTGATCTCATCAGATCTGTCTCTTCATCTGTTCTTAAGGCGTTTAAATACTTGAAGTGTGTTGAGCCTGTCCGATATTTTCAGGCTGCTGTGAGCTGAAAGGGCTCCTCCCTAACACCGCCCGCCCGCCCGCCACTCCAGGCAGCACAAATGAAGCGCTCTGAGTTACTGATGTAGTTTGAACATGGATTTCCAGCCCAGGCCCGACGGCCCGGACCTTCGTCTGTGTAAATGAAAGCTCTGATCTCGTTGTGTTTTGATTTTTGAAACCACAGAAAGTTGTTTCCCGTTTCTGTCCTGTTACATTTTTGCCTTTTTTGTTTACAAGATGTTGTCAAAATAATCCTCCCTCCGCTCCTGAAGTCGGAGCTGCTGATGTGACACAGAATCAGACCTTTGTGTAACGGCACAGAGTCCAGTTTGTTTCTGTTCCAGCTGGCCAGAACTGAGACCAAAATGGCCGACAGCGCGGCGCTCAGACGTCTGGTTTAAAGATCAGATCAGTTAAAAACCCTCCGTGCAGTTCGAACGGATCGTCGCTCAATCGGGACGAGTTTAAACCTTCAGATGATGTTAGGAACTCATGTTGGAGTGAACGCTGCGTTCGAGTTCCATCTAATATGTGGGGAAATACTAACGTCTGACAGGGGGAAGGTGGCAGTTTAAGGCGGAAAGCAACCAAAACTTTACAGCCTCCATGTTGGATGATGTCACTTCAGCTTCATCCTGTGTTTTTTTTTTTTTTTTTTTTTTTCTCAAACATCACCTGAATGCAGCATCAATGTCGTCACAGCTACAAAAACACCTGATGATGAGGAGGTGGATGAAGGTGTGTAGCTCCATGAAGCACAATCATGTAGCACAACCAGAGTGTAACTGTCTTCATCTTTAAAACCATCTGATTTAATTAATTAACTTTTATCTCCCGTCTGCTCGTTAAGTTTTTCTGGAACCAAACTTTTCGGTCTGTCCTTCTCAGAGATGATATCAGAAACAGAAAGCTGAGACCTACGGTCTTTTTATTTTTCTACAGTCAGTACGAAGCCCTGCAGAGCTGTTACTCTATTTCCCAGAATCCACCACCAGTGTTATGAACTACGTGACTGGACTGTTGCTCCTCTGGTCGTCTTGTTGCTGCTGCCTTCACGTCTCACTGGAAAGTTTCTCTCTCCACTTTTTTACTTTCTCCACATTTTGTGAAGATTAATCCATTGCAGGATCTGTTTTTTGTCCGTTGGTAATTCAGCGCGTCTCTGCTGGAGATCAATGACTTGATTAATATCAAAATATATTGATGATCGATTGTTTTTAGTCATTTTTCAAACGTCAGGAGTCGATGCTTTTCTCTCTCACGGGACCGTAAACTGAATATTTTTGGGTGGCGCTACAAGAGAAGACATTTGAGGACTTTGGGAAACACTGATCCACACTTTTCACGCTTTTCTGGACCCAACAACTAATCGATTAGTTGAGAAAATGATATGTTTTGTTGGTCGACGTCACTTTGGGCTGTGGGACACTTTAACAGGTTCATTATTCACAGAACGTCGTCACCTCTTCTTCTTATTTAGACAAAGTTCTCTTACGGCTTCTCGTGTGTTCAGACAGCATTTATGAACTTTTTGTAGAAAAACATGTTAATATTTGTCTTTGTAACGTGTTTAAAGAACCTGTTGTAGCAGAACGTGGTTCTCTCTATCGGCTCTGGTTTAGAATCTTTCTCAGTTAAACTTCCTGATGGGACGCGAAGCGACAACATGGCCGCCAGAAGAAACGGCAGCTGAAGACTGAAACTCGGCTCTCGTTGCTGAATATGAATCTATAAGTTTACTGAGAAGACTTTTATTTTATCTGATTATTGAACCGGTAACTAATTTATCCCCCCCCCCGCCACCTCCCGTGTACATGATGCAGAACATTTGCTGATTGCTGCACTTTAATTTCTCTGAACGTGTGCCTCTAATCATTCATGTTCATATCTGTTTTTTATATATATATAAACAAAGAGACGCTGAATGGCGTCTGTGTTGTGCATTTGCTTTCTTTTATCTTATTAAGAATATAATTTTGAATAATATCTATAATTATAATAAAGAGAAATGTATTGGATTTAAAAAAAACACAAAAAAACATGGACTTCTTTGTTTTTTATTTTTAGTAGATTGTAAATCATTACAGCCCCATTTAGTTACGTCCACAAGTTCTTTAAACTCAAAGAGTTCTGACAGAATTTAGATTTCAAACTAAATCGACAGATATGTGTTGATTGAACTGTCTTCTTTAAACATGGCAAAGTTAAAGCATGGACATAATCAACTAATTACACACTGCAGATAAGTCATGTGTTCGATACGGACACTTGTGGTTAACAAGAAAGGACTAAAGCTACCGGTAAAGGGAGAAACCTGCCAACGGCCTTAAACACAAACTGAAACAAACTTGGAATTTAAACCCTTTTAACTTGAAATGTAAACAAACATTAACGTTGTTTAGTTGTTTTTAAACTTGTGAGTTAGAAAAATGCAGAAATGCAAATTGTTGCACTGATAAAATAAAATAATTATCGGTTTTAACTCAAAGTATGAAGTTAACCGTTGTTAAAAAGTTCAGTCAACTAAAGAAACAACGTTGAGACGACTAGAACGCTGCAGTTAAACAAAGGAAATCTTTAAGTTGAGTTAACTTTCATTCATTCATATATTTGGTTAGTTTATGATAAATAAATCAATTTGTTTGGGGTACAAATATAACTTAATTAGTCAGTAGTCTAATACTCAAAAACAACCTGTTAAAAATAAATAAATAATAGGTTTAGGGGGAAATTATTTGATTTGAAAACAATGTGATGTTTTAAATATTAAACATAAGTCCCTCCAGGATTTCGTGATGTCGCTTGTATCAATACAAATTCAACAAATTCCCATGAATTCAGCGCGACTTTTCCACGAATTTGACGTATCATTTTTTCCCCACAAAACGTTGTCATACGTCCGCTTGTCACTTCCTTGTTGACAAGTCGCAGCAGACGTGCGATAACCACCGTCTCACATTTGCAGAGAAAAACAAAAAGGGGCCGTGAAAAACGGTTTAGATCTTCTTTACCAAAGCAGGTTTAAACTGTTCTGCAAATGCATGGAGAGACAGGCTGCTGCATCACAGTCAACTGCACGCTCTGAAATAATCAATGCAAGCTGGTGTAAATACGCAGGGTTTAGGGTTCAGAGATCCTGGAGGGACCGTTTAATCATTCAACTTTAATTCTAAAGTAAAAAACAACACATGGACCTCGGCAGTTTTCATTTATTTGCACAGTTTCATCACAAAAAACGTCACAACTTTCATCGCAATTTTTTAGAGAAGCTGTGAAATCAGTCACAGGACAGACGTGAAATCCTGAAAGGACTGAAAGACTCTTTGAACATAGTCGAGACGATGTAAACAAAACAAATCTACACAGACAACATTTAATAAAATACGTCAGAATAAAAACAAACAACCAAACCTCTCAGTCAAAGCGTCTCTCAGAAACCTGCTTCAATAAAAATCAGTTAAACAAACAAATATATATACAAGTAAAAAAAAACCAATAACAGTTCTTGATTGTGAAGAATCTGTCGGGGCCGAATCAGGAAGTGAAATCACTGAATGTGTTTCTATAATAATTAAACTTTTACTTGCAGAAATTAATCAAAATCATTAATCTGACTGGCTAGTTGCTGAATTTTGACATTTGTTACTGAGTTTGTCGTCACAGCTCAACTTAAAACGACCAAATTCACAAACGTTCAGCTGAGTTTAAACCTGTAAATACATTTTTTCCTGTTGAAGAATCTTTTCGTTTGTCTTAACGTGCAGCATCATCTCCGTTTTGGTCACATTTCACACCTTCAACCACAAAATCCAGTTTATCCCCAAAAACATTAGCGTTCAAAACATTAAACACACTCGCGGCGCCGACCACATTTTAGCATGTTAGCTCGGCCAAATGAAACCATGGCTGTGTCCAAAATCACTTTCTATTTACTATATAATGCATTTAAAATTCCACTGTGGCTCTAAAAAACAACAACAAATGTACGGCTGCTTTTTTTTATTTTTTACATTTAACTACATGTTTTATATTTTAAATTTTTCTGAATAAACTTCCATAGTTTTTAAGCGGTGCGCTGTGTTTGCTCATTGTTGAGTCTGTCTGAGTCGTGAATGAGTGAACGAGCCGCTGGTTTCGGACACAGCCGTCATGGACGTATTAATAGATCTGGCGCTCATCCCTGCTGCTACTCGCAGCTAAAATAAATCCCCTGACCCCCGTTATAAAAGAGACGTCTGTAAACAAACGTACTTATTAACTTTCCTCGAGCCCAGAAATCAGTTGTTTTTTTGAATGAAACTGTTTTGGGTTTTTTTTGGTTTTGTTTAGCTTTTTTTGTCTTTGCTGGTGCTGCTTTGAAATGATTGTCTGTCACTCACAACGTGACCGACTGTCTGTTCAACCTTCCATCATCTTCATCCTCCTCTTCCTCACAGCAGGCAGGAGATGGAAACCTTGGTGGTGGAGTAGGGGACGGTGTCTGGTGTGGGACAAAATGTTGAATCAGTACAAATTATATATAACGCGGCCTTTTTAAAGATTACAGAAGGTATAAATTATATATTTGTAGCGCCACAACCACAGGAATTTATTCTGGACCAAATATTAGATAATAAATTTTGATTATATGGTCAAAATATTATAATATATTTTCCTTATATGGAGAAATAATACATAAACTAGTCCCGGGTAACGATTAAAATTTTTAATTGCTTTATAAAGTGCAAAAGTGCAATAACATGTGGTTTGCAAACACTTTAAACAAATAAGGTGCTTTTTACCAGCAGTGTTCCCTTTAGACAGCAGCAATAAAATATTTCTTCTATAACTTAAACATTAATGTAATCAAATATAAAACCAAAGCTGTTACCTTTTATCTAGCTTGTTAAAACAAGTTATAGTCCAGATGATCAAAACATCAGAACAGGCTCCTTCTGAGCAGCAGGTGAACATTTATAAATCTGTTTTCAGGTATCAGCAGAAACATGTTTCTTTTATCAGGGAGCAGCAGAAACAGTCTGTGTTCAGTAGCAAGTTTCCCTGTCAGGGTGAGGTGAATTGTCTTGAACTTTTTGTACGAGACTCGCAGCACAAATCACTGGAGGAGAGACTGATCCTCGCTGTTTGTTGTTGAGTTTCCAGAATCTGTTACTGTTCAACTAAACAGGACATCAACAGGAGGGAATTCACACGGCAGAGCCGCAAAATTAGATGAAGACCTATCAGGTAAAGTTTTGTATAATTTTAACTCAAGTTAAATAGGCTACAGCTGTTTAGCGCACAGAAGCCGTTGCCATGGTTACCAGCCGTTTGCTGGCGGAGCGCTTCCGCTTAGTCTGCCGAAGCCTCCCTCCGCTGCTTTTGGGCGGCTGATTTGCAGGGTTTGACTGTATGTGTATTCAGAGCCAGTGAGCAACGGGCTTTCATAATATAATAATAATAATAATAATGTTTTAAAATTGGTCGGCGTTAATTAATTACGTGCCCAGCCCAAATATAAAAATATATTCACAATGCAATGTGCTATATAACAGTTTTCCAAAATGTGGCACAATTTACAACTTAAAATACAAGTTGTCTCTATATTCAAAAGACGTTTTGAGTATATTTAATTTTTCATTGTATCATTAGACAGTTAATAACCAGAAAGAATAATAGATAAGTTATAATCAACTTAAGTTGGTTGTAATCAATAACAATAAGCTTTTTGTCCCTCTCTCCTGCCGTAGTTCCTCACCTCTGTCCTGCAGCGTGCTGATGTACGCCTCGATGAACTCTTTCTCTCTGCTGTCCTTCACCTCCTCCTCTCTCGGCTCTCTCCACCTCTTCTTCTTGTTCTTCTTCTTCTCCTCTTCCTTCTTCTTCTCTTTGCTCGCCGGGTTGTCGTACAGGCGAATAAACCTGCCGGGTGAACAGCGGAGACAAAGTGCACCTGAGAGAACAGTCAGACAACAGCTCAGCCAAACAAATGAGATAGTGTCTGTTGGCGCCACCTACAGGTAAAGAAGGAAACAGCTGCTGCAGTCTGAACACTATCGCCACCTGCAGGCAGCGAGTGGTACAGCTGCGGCTTTTACATTTTGAAACTGAATAACTAAATAAAATTGGGCATCATTGTCTTGTGAATATTTAACAATAATAATAATAATTTAGATTATGGCTTTTTAAAAGTCAGTAGAAATAGTCTGTATAGAGCAAACATCTGTACCAAAACAACAACAAATGATTTCAGTTACACATTTGTAGTTCATATTCATCACCAAAGAAAGAACTTTAGTTCATCGGCTAGAACAATTCTGATTATCATTAAGCAGAAACACTAAACTCTACGAAACCTCAACTGTATTTCTGTTCCTTATGGAAAAACCACATGAAGTTTCTCTGCTAAACATTAAAAATGTTTTGGAACATTTTCGTGGTGTAACGCGTGAAGCCTAAATCATTTCCCGTGTGAATCCGAGTGTAGTGTAGTATGTATACCAAACACATTATCATCTTTGGTCATCAAATAGCCAGCCATCAAAAGCCTGACAAAGCATTTGACGCACCAGTTACGCTTCAGCAACCTTATGAGACACCGTTAGGTTCAGGAAAGGATCACGGTGTTGGGTTGAAATAAGTACATGGTGACGACAGATTGGTTAGTTCCTTTCAAGTAACTCCAATGGACGAATTATCTTTGTTAAACCAATCCGATCTCATCTCAGGCGTCACATATACACGCTTTGGGAAAACCATGCCTATTAGCCACAAAACGGCGATTTTGCATGTGTATGATACGCAGCAGTTAGCAATAGCATTGCAACACGATGTGCTAGCAGGAAGGGTTAGCCGGTCGACATGCATATATTTACTGACTTAGATTTAGGCAGTAACTTCTGTGACGGTTAAGGTTAGGATAAGTTGCCTCAGGGTCAACTACTTAAACACAAACATCGCTAGCTAGCTACTTAGCGACCGGAATCGCTACTAGCATTTCCGGTCACCCCAGGGCGTCATATGCACACGCGGACTGGATGCATCTCATACACACACAAAATCACCGTTTTGCATACAATAGCCACGGTTTTTCCAAAGCGTGTACATGTGACGCCTGAGCATGAGAACAGGCTGGTTAAACACGTACTTTGCACATTAGAAACGTGGTTTTGGTTAATTTTTGTGGTGTAATGTGTGACGCCCAGGTAAACTGCGATGTGAAACCTATGGGATTACACATGAACGTGACCTGTAGGAAACATGTGCTCCGCATCTTATTCTTGGTATCCACGCTCGGTCTCATCTTAGGTCGTCAAAATACCGACGCTTTGAGGAAGCCTGACAAAGCGTAGGTATTTGACGCACAAGGCGCCCTTCATTATGCGTATGAAAAGTCTGAGCTTTCAAGTAACCCCAATGTAACCCATCCGCCGTCATTTCAACCCAAAACACGATGTTTCCTAAACCTAACCAAGTAGTTTTGGCGCCTAGAAGTAACCTTGATCTCTTCCTGAACCTGAAGACAGATTGAAGCACAGGTGACAGGTGTTGCTGAGAAAAATCTTTTTATTTTCCTCTATGAACCCGCTGTTGAGTCTTTTGTATTAAAATCCTGCCTTCAGACGGTAAAAAGTTATTCTCGTGTTCGTGTGTGGTTTGTGTACTTGAGGTCGGGGTTGTAGCACAGTTTGGTCGGGATGCAGGTGAGCTCGTCGCCGCTGACGACGATCATCTTGAGCGTGGAGATGTTGGTGAGACAGTGAGGAAGGTAAGTCAGGTTGTTCTTATGGACGAACAGGGTGACCAGCTGCTCCAACCTGCAGACACACACAGATGTTTACGTGTATTTATACACACCTGTAATAATTAATAACTTTTCTCTAATGTGCTTTTTGTTTTTCTGTCTGAGAGTGAGTTCACATGAATGTCATGTCTGTGTGTTAAGGAGCTGACGTCAAGACATTCATTAGCTTAGCTTAGCATAAAGACTGGAAGCATGGGGAAACAGCTAGCCTGCTAGCAGCTGGGTCTGCTCTTTTTACGGTCCTGGGGTCACGTTGATAAAACTGTCGATTATTGACGATTATTAAAGGTTGCGTATGGACAAAACACAGGAAGTGCTTGTGCACAAAATAGTGGAGGGGAACACAGATATGCAAGACACACTGATTATGACCCAGGTACATAATTTGGATTGAGAATAAATTGCACTGCATGAAAGAATTAATTAATGATTAAACTGTTCAACATATATAAGGTGTTCTTTTGCAGAAACACAAATCTTATGCGTTTATGACCCTAAATCATGTTTCTTTTTACATGCGCTGCAAATGATAAATTGTTTTTTATTTTGCACTTAAGCAAAATCAATCAGCTGTTTGTTTATTCAGAAATGCTTTCATCTGTTTTGCAAATGAATTAATTTAATATTAATTTATATTAAGTTTTAGGCTTATAATACTCAGAGGTAATATTTAGATTTATTTTAGTATCCTTTTCAAACAGTTTCATCCTTCTGCCACGTGAGTTTCTCATTTCTCCAGTTGATGTACCTACGCATGGGTCAGAGTGACCGTGGAGGACCGCACAGTCTCCCGTCAGCTTTTCATAGATCACAACCTTTGCTTGGGAAGTACGCACCGTTTATAAATGAGACCCCAGGTATGTTTTTGTGAAAAAGTGTGAAACTCACTTGGGAATGTTTGATTTGTTATTGACACATTAAGCTAAACTAGTTTGTCTTGTTTGTGCGCGGTGAGAGAGAAGTGGAGTTAGAGGGAGGGGGATGTGCTGAGTACAGTCATCAAAGTATCTGAACACAAGGTGAATCTAATGTTAAACATGCTGAGGCTAGCTGGAAAACTTATAGTGGACATCCAGAGTCAGACTGTTGTAATCGGATTACAGGTAGTGATGATGTCAGCGGTTACCTGTCCATGTCCTGCGGCAGGTCGCTCAGACTGTTGTTACTCAGGTCCAACACCTGCAGGCTGCTCATCCTCAGAGCACAGACGGGGATCGAAACAAACCTGTTCTCCGCGATGTCCAGGTGAACCAGCTGCTTCAGGCTGCTCAGCTGACAGAACAGGTACACAGTGACATCATCAACACAGTGACATCATCATCATGTATGGAAAATCTAGCACATGATGAGTCTCTGTTTATCAGTTAGTTAGTCTCTTTTTTTTTTTTATTGTCTTGACAGCATATTGAAATATTGACTGATCAATATTATAGATCATTTAGTGTTTTAAGGAATATTTCTACATGCTTTTGCTTTCCGAGAGTCAGATGTTCAGCTTGATGCAACAAGGCCTCCAACCTAAATGTCAACAACAGCTGTTGGTGTGCGAACTCTGGTGATGAACACAACATGCTCGGGAGAAAGACGCGCGTAAACATCAGCTCCCCTAAAAGCATGATTTGTGATATTTCGAGGTTTCTCTAAAATATTGACAGCTTGCTTGCGTCAGACTTCATCCAGCAACTTTGTAAATTGTTCCCTCTCACGGAGAAAAGAAAAACAGCCGCAGCTATTGTGTGAAGCGTAATTGTAGAAAAATGGCTACATATGAAATTATTATTATAATAATAAGACAAACATGCCTGATACTTCCACAGTCAGCTCCCCGTCACGGAAAAAAACTGAGTTCCCCTTGAAAGCTACGTATAGTTCTCACTGATGTGGTTATAAGACATTTGGAAAAAACAAAATATGACAAAAACTAACAAGGAGATTTGACACAGGACAAAGACTAAATTTTAAAATGGCTGACAACATTAACACTACTCCCAAAACGACCCATATGAGTCACATGACATTAAACACCTGGTTGTGAAATCATCAGTTTGGTTAGGTTTTGGATTAAAGGAAGTACAATACACAAGTTATGTTATGGAAGTCAGTAACGCTATTTATGTAAAAACTCAAAATAAGCATTTTCTTGGCTTCACATGAGACTCAAACGCCGTTCTCCTGAGTATAAGTCCAGGGTTTGACTCATCCTGCCTCCTTATACAGACTTTATAACACGTCACCTGACTTCCACCTTTGCCACCGTTGGACGGACACTCGAGAACGTAAATATGGACCGTAATAACGTGCTGCACAACAAACAACCTATACTGTTGTTTTTCTGGTGAGGACAGTCTCGCTTGATGCCACTCTCTGTCTGTACTGTAAATATAACAGCTAGCCTGGCTCTGTCCATCCCGCTCTGAACAAAATTCACCCGCTGGCTCCTCTAAAACTCACAGATGAACATGCTTTATCTTGTTTAGTGAACAAACTACAATTTGCAGTTTTACGGGGGCATGCGGGACTATATTATAGACCTGTTCCCAAAACGTCAAACGTTTTCTTTAACTATTACAAACATAGAGGCAGTTAACAAGTTCCTAACCAAGTAACTGAAGCTACCACAGGAGGGTTCTTCCATCCTCTCCGTCTCACCTCAAACGGCAGCTCGGACAGGTTGTGGTTTCCTGCGAGTTCGAGTCTCTCCAGGTTCTCACAGTTCCCGAGCTCCGGAGGAACTCTGGACAGACGGTTGTAGCTGACGTTTAACTCCCTCAACCCCGTCAGTTTACCTGAAGACAGAGGAGACGGAAACGTTTGTTCTTGAGCAACATCTGTTTTACCCAACTCATTTTAAGAGGTTGGACATACAGTACACAGGGAATACAGTGACATTATCTCCCAAAACTAAAGAATAATATGAAACTCTGCCAGAAAAACAGATTCAAGAAACTGGAGTCCAGCTCAGCCTGAACACATCAGATTGGACCCAGTTGACTTTGGGGGCTGAAATCTTAATGTCCTCTGAAACTTTTATCATGTCTGAAATCTCATGTTTCATCTTCACCGATCTCAGGCGGCAGCTCTGCGATACTGTTTTTGGGGATCTCGAGCACGGTGAGCTGGGTGAATAGAGCCAGGTAGTCAGGCAGCCGGCAGATCCTTGTCCCCCTGACATGCCACTCTTTCAGGTAGGTCATCCACTGCAGCTCCTTGGGGAAATCCTGCAACAATATTCACTTATTACCACTTAGTACACATCCTGCAGCATTTATTTAAATAAACGCTGCAGGATGTGTACTGTCTCCTGAACCTGTCAGATTACCATCCAACGATCTCCTTCAAGCTGGAACGTCAGTTTGATCTGCTCCAGATCATTCAGATCCTCCTGGTCTTTCTGATCCTGCTCCTCTCCTTCTGACAGAACAACAACATAAACAGATACACAACAACACATCGTCTGCAAACACACAAAGATACGTTATTAACAAACAAAAGAATTAAATGAACAAAACAATCATGTTTACCTGTGTACACCTGTATACCAGTCATGTTTACCTGTGTACGGCTGTATATCAGTCAGGTTTACCTGTGTACACCTGTATATCAGTCATGTTTACCTGTGTACACCTGTATACCAGTCATGTTTACCTGTGTACACCTGTATATCAGTCTTGTTTACCTGTGTACACCTGTATATCAGTCTTGTTTACCTGTGTACACCTGTACACCTGTATATCAGTCAGGTTTACCTGCGTACACCTGTGTAACAGTCAGCTTTACCTGCGTACACCTGTATAACAGTCAGGTTTACCTGCGTACACCTGTGTAACAGTCAGGTTTACCTGCGTACACCTGTATAACAGTCAGGTTTACCTGCGTACACCTGTATAACAGTCAGGTTTACCTGCGTACACCTGTATAACAGTCAGGTTTACCTGTGTACGGCTGTATAACAGTCAGGTTTACCTGTGTACACCTGTATATCAGTCAGGTTTACCTGTGGACGGCTGTAGACCTGTATATCAGTCTTGTTTACCTGTGTACACCTGTATATCAGTCTTGTTTACCTGTGTACACCTGTACACCTGTATATCAGTCAGGTTTACCTGCGTACACCTGTATAACAGTCAGGTTTACCTGCGTACACCTGTGTAACAGTCAGGTTTACCTGCGTACACCTGTATAACAGTCAGGTTTACCTGCGTACACCTGTATAACAGTCAGGTTTACCTGCGTACACCTGTATAACAGTCAGGTTTACCTGCGTACACCTGTATAACAGTCAGGTTTACCTGCGTACACCTGTATAACAGTCAGGTTTACCTGTGTACGGCTGTATAACAGTCAGGTTTACCTGTGGACGGCTGTAGACCTGTATATCAGTCTTGTTTACCTGTGGACGGCTGTATATCAGTCTTGTTTACCTGTGTACGGCTGTATATCAGTCTTGTTTACCTGTGTACACCTGTACACCTGTATATCAGTCTTGTTTACCTGTGTACAGCTGTATATCAGTCTTGTTTACCTGTGTACACCTGTATATCAGTCTTGTTTACCTGTGTACACCTGTATATCAGTCTTGTTTACCTGTGTACACCTGTATATCAGTCTTGTTTACCTGTGTACACCTGTATATCAGTCTTGTTTACCTGTGTACACCTGTATATCAGTCTTGTTTACCTGTGTACACCTGTATAACAGTCTTGTTTACCTGTGTACACCTGTACACCTCTATAACAGTCAGGTTTACCTGTGTACGGCTGTATATCAGTCAAGTTTACCTGCGTATGGCTGTATATCAGTCAAGTTTACCTGCGTACGGCTGTATATCAGTCTTGTTTACCTGTGTATGGCTGTATATCAGTCAGGTTTATCTGTGTACACCTGTACACCTGTATAACAGTCAGGTTTACCTGTGTATGGCTGTATATCAGTCATGTTTACCTGCGTACGGCTGTATATCAGTCTTGTTTACCTGTGTATGGCTGTATATCAGTCAGGTTTACCTGTGTACGGCTGTATATCAGTCAGGTTTACCTGTGTACGGCTGTACACCTGTATATCAGTCTTGTTTACCTGTGTACACCTGTATATCAGTCTTGTTTACCTGTGTACGGCTGTATATCAGTCTTGTTTACCTGTGTACACCTGTACACCTGTATATCAGTCTTGTTTACCTGTGTACACCTGTACACCTGTATATCAGTCAAGTTTACCTGCGTACGGCTGTATATCAGTCAAGTTTACCTGCGTATGGCTGTATATCAGTCTTGTTTACCTGTGGACGGCTGTACACCTGTATATTAGTCTTGTTTACCTGTGTACACGTGTACACCTGTACACCTGTATAACAGTCAGGTTTACCTGTGTATGGCTGTATATCAGTCATGTTTACCTGCGTACGGCTGTATATCAGTCTTGTTTACCTGTGTATGGCTGTATAACAGTCAGGTTTACCTGTGTACACCTGTACACCTGTATATCAGTCATGTTTACCTGTGGACAGCTGTATATCAGTCTTGTTTACCTGTGTACACCTGTATATCAGTCTTGTTTACCTGTGTACACCTGTATATCAGTCTTGTTTACCTGTGGACGGCTGTACACCTGTATAACAGTCTTGTTTACCTGTGGACGGCTGTACACCTGTATAACAGTCAGGTTTACCTCGTACGGCTGTATATCAGTCAAGTTTACCTGCGTACGGCTGTATATCAGTCAGGTTTACCTGCGTACGGCTGTATATCAGTCTTGTTTACCTGTGTACACCTGTATATCAGTCTTGTTTACCTGTGGACGGCTGTACACCTGTATAACAGTCTTGTTTACCTGTGGACGGCTGTACACCTGTATAACAGTCTTGTTTACCTGTGGACGGCTGTACACCTGTATAACAGTCTTGTTTACCTGTGGACAGCTGTATATCAGTCTTGTTTACCTGTGGACAGCTGTATAACAGTCTTGTTTACCTGTGTACACCTGTATAACAGTCAGGTTTACCTCGTACGGCTGTATATCAGTCAGGTTTACCTGCGTACGGCTGTATATCAGTCAGGTTTACCTGCGTACGGCTGTATATCAGTCTTGTTTACCTTTGTATGGCTGTATATCAGTCTTGTTTACCTGTGTATGGCTGTATATCAGTCTTGTTTACCTGTGTATGGCTGTATATCAGTCTTGTTTACCTGTGTACGGCTGTATATCAGTCTTGTTTACCTGCGTACGGCTGTATATCAGTCTTGTTTACCTGTGTACGGCTGTATATCAGTCAGTGTAGACCTCTCCAGGTAATGGTGCAGGAGGTTCCGGTCTTTGGTCTTCAGTGTCTTACAGTAGATGCGATACTGCCACTGCTGGTCGATCCTACAGACAACAGACGTGTTAATGAAGCTTCAAATTAAGTCACATCAGGTTTCAGACAGACGGGATGTTCCCGTTCATTCTCCAAACTCGTGACCTTTCTGCTCTCTGGAGGCCAGACACCGACCTGCCGCCGCAGTTGTGCCACAGCACTGATTTTGGGATATAAATAGCTGTCTGTGTGTTCATATTACTAAAATCAGCCATGACTCTCATAGTTCATGACTAACAACTGTCAGCTGTGTCGGAGTCTGTCTCTGACTGAGAGGTTAAATAGTTTAAACTTTGAAGAATTTGTTCTCAGCTTAGTGGAGATCTGAAAACTATAAAACTAATGTGAGAGGGTTCAAACTGCAAACAGCTGCCGAGCAAAATATAAACAGAAACACATTCTGGTAACACTGTGAAAATAAGGTTTCTGAGCAGCTATTATAATGCCTTTGGACTGGTACCAAGAATTAAAGCCCCACCATCTTTGAGAAAGAAATGTTGAAGTTCACCAGCATTTCAGTTGAACACAGGATGGACAGCTGGTTACTGTCTCCGTGCAACTTCCATTTTTATGCCTAGCACTGAAAGAAGTACTCAGATCATTTACTTAAGTAAAAGCAGACATACTACAAAAAAAATACTAAATTACAAGTAAAATCCCTGAATTCAAAATGTTGCTCAAGTATAAATAGTGTAAAAAATGCTCACTACACAGAAAGCTCCTTTCACAGTGTGAAAATGGATGTCAGTCCTGGGAGAGTGATCCCTCGTCTGCTGCACAGATTGTGAAGCCGCCTGAGGCCAATTTATGATTTGTGCTATTAGGCTGCATAAATACAATTAACTTGACTGTGTTATATTATTAGAGAATGTTTTATCAATCTGTTTTTATCACTAATGATTAAATGTAAAAGCATGTTCGTCAATTTGGAGGCACATTTTATTAAGTATTAGATTAGCAGTACTGCATCATATCATATAAGTGTACTGGTGCATCTAAAAAAATTAGAATATCGTGGAAAAGTTTGCACCAAAACCAGACTGAGAGATTAAAGGCTCAGAAAACCTTTTGCAGGTGTTTTGAGTTAATCAGCTGATCAGAGATCTGCTCTGGTCACATTTCTGCCTTATAAATTCTTTATTTTAAAATTCGAATACATTTTAAGATACTGAAGTTTTGATTTCCATGAGCTGTAAGCCGTATTCATCAAGATTAAAACAAACAGAAAGGCTTGAAAAATTTCACTTTATGTGTAAAGAATCTAGAATATTAAAGTTTCACTTTTTTAATTAGATTACGAAAAGAAACTCAACTTTTTCACGATATTAATATTTTTTTAGATGTCACTTGTAGGTATTTTTTTTTAAATCTGTCAGAGAAAAGTAGCGCTGTAAAAAAGTACTATATCTCCCTCTGAGATGTCGTGGAGTAGAAGTAGAAATGGAAATACTCAAGTGAAGTCAAACTTTGCCGTTAACAGCTGGAGATGGGCTTACCTGGGGAGTGCACTCTTCTCGAGCCTCTCCTGCTCCATCTTCTGTTTCTGTTTGTGTTTCTTTGCTCGGACCTCCCAGATCCCTCTGATCAGAGACAGATCGCAGACCGGGACGTCCAGCTTCCTCCCCAAACCCATCTCTGCTCCTTGGACGGAAGAAGAACAATAAGAAGGAGAGGGCATCATCTCAAGATATTATTCCTCAAGATTAAGATTGTATTTTAGTATCTTGGAACCTCTAAAGCCTGATAATTTCAGAATTTCCCTTTAAGCTACTTGATACTTCTAATATAATTTAACTCTATTAATTTTTGTACTCCACTTAATTTATTTGACAGCTTTCAGAAGTATTTACTTTTCAGATAAAAAAAATCTATAATAGGTTTTTTAATTATTTAACATTGTTTTTGTAACCTCTTATAAAAGTGCAGTGTGCCTGTATGTCTCCTCCTTGTGATCTGGAAGTCTTTGAGTTGTTCATTTCCACTAAAATTATTAGGAGCAGGAAGTATTTAAATGTAACTGTGTATAAAGCGGTTAAAACTAGCTGACCGTATGTCTTTTTTCAAACTTAAGCCTATAAAAAGTGTTTACTTTATCTGTGAACTCATCAGGTTGCTTTAACACATAAGCTACACAGTGACATGACCTCATTTTGTGTGTTTGTTTTGTTTTTATATCTCAGCCGTGCTCCAATATTTGTTGCGTATGTACTTCTGCTGGTAAATTTAATTATTTGATGTATCGTTGGCAATGCTTTAAGAATCACACCACTGTGTCGCTCTTGCATTATAATTTTGATTTTAATTATTCTTTCACAGTTTCTATTTTTATTTTTTATTCTCATACTTAAATTTTTTCCCTTATCTGTACTTATTTCTGTCCTTGTGCTGCTGCAACACCTGATCTTCAATCAGCAAAGGCTTTTCTTTTATGATTTCATTTTTGTGTTACAAAATTGCAGATCAAAACAAAATCACAGAAACTTTCAGCTGAATTAGAGGTTGTGCTGCATGTAGTTCTCTCTCCTGTCAGGTGTTTGGTATCAGCGTGGCTCTCTGACCTACATGCAGCAGACAAACATGAACGCTACAGGAGGCTGTTGATGTCGCTCACGGTTCTGATGAGTTTGCCACTGTTATCGCAGCAAACTTCACTCAAAAGAGGGCTTTTACTCTGAAAAACATCTAGCAGTGGTAATTTCCTCGACTGTTTGTCTTGGGTAAATGCTTCCCATTGGACTTATAAGAGAAGACAGTTTAAAACAATCTCCTGCTTAAATGCGTCTCATTTAAGCTTCAAAATGCAGCTTAACTTTCAGTTTTAAACATTTTCCTGAACTCTTTAAAAACCTGACTGCTGATCATTTCATGCTAAGTATTTTTTCTACCCCGAGTCTTGTCTCTGAGGTAACAGAAGGTCTCTGTTACTTTTCCTCCTCTGTTAAATCATCGGTCGAAAAAAGTCCCACAAAAAATCCTTTCCTGACTTCTCTATGACCTCTAAGGAAAATGTCACGAGGTCAAGGAAAGGTGTGAATTTGAATTCATAAGGACTCAGGAAAGGTGACAGCGGTGCACAGAGAATCCGCCTAGGCTTTAAAAAAAACTTTATCAATAACACAAAGTGAGAAAAGAGTAAGATTTCCTGTCCAACACAGAATCACACCTCTTCAGAAAGGATGTTTTCACTGTGTACATATATATAAGGTGGAAGTCACAACAAAATAGATGGTCGTTAAAAATAAAAGCAAAAAGGATTTAGATGAAAAATAGTAATACAAGGGGAAAAGAAGCATTATGCAAGTAGAGAAAGTTGAGCCATTAAATAAAAAAATAAAGTTAGAGTAAATTATATTCTGGCTCTTTTATAAACAGTATATCTTTGAACTTCTTTAAACTTGTTAAATCGAGAAGATACAGTTTTTGTGTCAATTTTTGTCATGATGAAGATATTTTTAACTAGAAATTCAATATGTTGTTTTTCAAGACTCCTCCTAACTGGATGTATTTGGAAATACAGTTTCTTAATGGAGTGATAGCTTTATTATTTTCTGCTAACCCCGCTAACTGCTGCTAACTTCATCTGTCTGTATCTGTAGCTAGTTAGCTCGGTTAGCTGTGTAGCTAGCTGATTCCCCTCGTGGTGCTAAACCTGGCAGGAAAACCACCTCGGTCCCGTAGTCCCTGTCGTCAAACTGACCAAGTCCCTCCATAGCTTTGTGTTTTTACAGGAAACGTGTAAATTTCACTCGATTTTCTGTTTCATGGGAACTTTAAAGGAATGAAAACAGAAGCAATTTCACAAAATATTGACAGACTTGATATAAACTTAACCCTAATGCGGTCTAATTCAATACTGAAGATGAAGGTACTTCAGCAGATGCAGGCCTGCATGGTAGGATAACTGTCAGTTTTTAGACCACTGACCCTGGTGCAGATATTTCAGAATCAGACTCTCTTTATGGTCATTGTAAACTCTGCATCCAACGAAATAATTACTCTAATGGGACAATTTTAGCCTGTAATGTTAATCGGTCCAGCACTTTATTAACATTACAGACTACGTATTAATCAGGTTATTATAGCATTATATTATTGTTTTTATATACATGTGATGTATGTATATTGTGTTCATGATCGACTCAGGTGAGACTTCCTGCACATGCACATGATAAAATCCCTCTAAACTGAAGGACTCAGCCGGTGTCAGCCTCGGCATGCTACCAGGTGTTAGCATGTTACACTGATGTATTAAATGCATGTTGACATGCTAAATATAAGAGATGGAGGCAGAGGGGAAACTCTACTTCCCCTGAATCATCGGTCATGTTTACAGTCGTGTCTGCTGGCTCCAGAGGACAAACTTTTTCTCTCTAAGAGCTGCTGATCTGCCTGTATATTTCATAAAGTAAAAGTATTTCCTGTGTGTTCGTCCTCTCTGAAGTTAGTGAATCTAAACCACCATGCAGCTGTGATAAAAACAAAGATCAGCTGTGTCCTTACCTGTGAGTTCCTGTTAACGTCCTGCTCACTTTCACCAGCTTGTTTACTGAGCTCTGACTGTGTGTCTATTTTTACCAGCTGTGATGTGACCCCCTGCTGTGTGTGTGTGTCACATGATGCTGGATCACTTACGAGCGTTCATCTGGATCCCTCACATCATGTTTCTTTTTTTGTGTGAGACTCGACTGAAGCGGGCCGTATCATGGAATGAGATGCAGCTTGATGTTAAGTTACCAGGTACAGTGCACACAGCACATTTAGCCCAAAAGCCCCAAAACACTTTTATTCTGAAAAACTGTCCTGCCCCTGGGGTTGGTGTGCCAGTGTGTCAGTTTTTTACACAAATGTATTTAGGAATATTATGTGAAGTGTGAGCTTAATAGAGATTTCTACAAGTAAAAGGCTCATGTAAAAAAATGCAGAAGCCAATGTGGTTTTTTAAATCCATCCTCAGCACTGCACCACGCAAAATATTTTATTCATGTATATCATCTTGTGATGTTTGCTTTTTGTAGCTCATCTCAAATCATGACTACATTTACCTGATAAGACTCTTATTATTTCAGTTTTTATGCTGCTTTAGCGGACTGCCGTTTTCCTAACAAATTATCACAAACTAGTTACCACACAGGGTTTTGGGTGGGTGGTAGTCCAGCACCGTCCTCACAGGATGACCTCTTCTGTCCATTTTGACATTTTGAGCCTGTCCTCACCAGAAAAAACAAGTTTTGGTTTGGTCTGTGTTTCAGTATTTAACTAAGTGTTTTTAAATAGAGTTTAAAAACAACAACGTTCTCCCTCCAAATCAGCGTTTTAGCTGCGTATTAGAATTTATCTCCTTCTATATTAAAACTACTATATTATCTTGTGGCTGTTGATGAACACTGGGCCAGTTTAAACATAAAGCAGATTGTCTAGTTGCAGAAGATTTGCTAAGGAACAAAGTACTACTATAGACAAAGAACGAAGAACAGCGATGGTGAAGAACCACAGCAGAGATTTCTTTGACCGCCAACGAGCAAATTAAATACGGAGACATGCACAGTATAAAATCTTTTAACAAAAACAGAAAAACTAAAACTCTGTCAGCAGCATCGTGTTTCTGGTTTGCATGACTGATGAGAGACAATCAGGAAGTCAAACGTGAGCGTCATCGTTTTAAAGTCGTGGATGTAGCCTCAGTCTGTTTTCCTGGTTTATTTTAAAATTGTCTGGTGTTTGTTATCCAGCTTTGTGTCCTGTCTGCCCTGATCACCCTAATGTGTCTCACCTGTAGTTAATCGCCCTGCCTGCCTGTGTGTTTGTCAGTAATATTGTCTGAGTTTCCGTTCAGTCCCTGTTGGATCATTGTCGGATGCCTCGTGTTACCCTGTTCTCTAAATTTGCCTGGACCGTTGTTTTTTCCACTTGCCCTTTGAATTTTTTCCATTTCTGTCTGGATACTTTGTATAACGTAATATAACTTTTGGATTAGTTTGGACTCTCTAAGTAAGTGCGTTCACCTTTGGTTAACAAATCACGAGAACTCAACCTCCCAGTTTCCAGTTGTCTGCATCTGGGCCCAACAAACCTGTTTCTGCCTGAGCCTAGGTCGTTTGTTGAACCACGTTATTATGACACCATATTAACGTTTATTGTTGCTGTGACCTTTAGTGACCGTACGACGGTGTCAAAGGAGAAAGTTGGGCAACATATAAAAAACAGCAAGAAAGTCCACCAAGTAAATGTTGAGTTTTAGTAGCGTGCTGGATTTACAGTGACGACTGTATCTAAGGATGAAGGTTAGAACCAGACTGTTCGAGTCTCCTTAGGATTAGAGTCCCCTTAAGGTTAGAGGCCCTAGATGTTAAAGGGTTAGAGTCCCCTTAGGGTTAGAGTCCCCTTAGGGTTAGAGTCCCCTTAAGATTAGAGTCCCTAGATGTTAAAGGGTTAGAGTCCCCTTAGGATTAGAGTCCCCTTAAGGTTAGAGTCCCTAGATGTTAAAGGGTTAGAGTCCCCTTAAGGTTAGAGTCCCTAGATGTTAAAGGGTTAAGTGTTAAAGGGTTAGAGTCCCCTTAGGATTAGAGTCCCCTTAAGGTTAGAGTCCCTAGATGTTAAAGGGTTAAGTGTTAAAGGGTTAGAGTCCCCTTTGGGTAAGAGACCCTAAGTGTTAAAGGGTTAGAGTCCCCTTAAGGTTAGAGTCCCTAGATGTTAAAGGGTTAGAGTCCCCTTAAGGTTAGAGGCCCTAGATGTTAAAGGGTTAAGTGTTAAAGGGTTAGAGTCCCCTTTGGGTTGAGACCTGCCTGTTTTTATTTTCTATTTAACTAGATGTTAACCCCTAACTCTAAATCTAAGGTCCTGGGTTAAAAGAATGTCCAAAAAGGCCACCATACGCAGAATAAACCCTTTAGATTTAGCAGCACCCTCAGGACAGATTTGACATGTTTTACAACACTACTGGAGAACAGAATATTTGTTTCCATTCCTCTGAGGTTTCTGAGCTTCTCAGTGTTTTCCTAAATGTACGGATGATGAAATGGTTGGGTAATGGCATCAGTGGACAAACCACGCAACAGTTCATACACTATTTCAAAAAGGCAACTAGGATTTTATTTTTGTTTTAGGTTTAATGTTACAAAGGTTATGTGGAAATTCTTCTCTTTTTTTTTTTACAAGTACAAAAACTACCCAAACAGCTGTGAGTGATGCTTCATCTATAAATATCCATCTGCGTGACATTTACAGTCCACACAATGTAAAGACATGTACAACATGTTTGGTCACCTCCTTTAAATACTTGCACACACACACAGTGACGTTCTACGTTTGCCTTCTGTGGAGTTTGGATTTAGTTTTTGTCACCTGGCTGTTCTTCAAAGATTATTGCTCTCCTTCTGTTAGTGTACTTTTGGTTTATGTCCGTGTCATAGTTGGATGTTTTCTTTGTTTTGGGTCGGGGTTTATCTTGGACCTTTCCTGTCAGAATCACCTGTAGCTTCCATAGTGATTCTGTGTTTGTTTTTCTTCCTCAATTTAAAAGTTATGTAAATGTCTGTGTACAGAAAAGTACTCCTCTCCAGTTTACATCAGCAAAGCTCTCCCACAAACCACACTAGCTCTCCCTTGTGGTCAGGACCGCCTACTACCCGGGAGAAAATCTCAAATTCAATAGCTCCAGTGTTCAGACAAAGAACTGGGTCAAAGTAAAATCCTCTAATCCTACAAATCTGCATCACATTCCCTGTAAACCAAAAGTATCTCAGGCCCTGCTCAGTGTGAGGTCTCTGCGTGGCAAATCACTTTCAATCAATGATTCACAGCTTCAGTTTCTGTTTTAACAGAGACTTCGTTGGATGACATCGATGGACAAAGTTCACAAATCCTGTACTTGAGTTAAAGTGCAGACACCCTTGCTAAGTATAACTCATCTAATAGTAGAAGAATTAAAATTTCTACTCGACTCAAAGTAGACGTGACAAACAGAATTTAAAAAAAAAAGTTACTAAAGTAGAAGTTTGTAAATATAATCAGGACTGTTGTACTATCATGTATTAGATTATTATTATTCCTCCTGCATTAACGTAAAGCAGGATTTTACTGCTGTTGTTGAGCTGGAGCCATTTTTACCTGTTTAGTATCAGACTGCAGCTGATGATTATTTTCTTTATTAATTGATTTTCAAAAATTGTGAAAATAGTGAGAAATGTTGTAACCCAGAGCCCAACGTGACACCTTCACAACACTTTGTTTGTCGAACTAACAGTACAAATGTCCAAATTATTACAAATAATTTCAATAATTTAAAGGAAATTAATGAAATGTTTTTACAAGAAAAATGTCGTAAACTGTCAAAAAAGTTGCCAATTAATTTTCTGTCAACTGACTAATCCTGTCAGCTGTACTTGTGTAAAAATGTTGGGGAGTTTAATTTATAACAAAACATATTTTATAAACTCTGCATGTGTTTTGTGTGTAAAGATCTGACTTTGTAAAGTAACTGAAGCTGTCAGATAAATGTAGTGAAGTAAAAAGTACAACATCTCCCTCTGAGATGGGGTAGAAGTAGGAAGTGGCATGAAAAGAAAATACTCAAGTAAAGTAGAGATACCTCAAAATTGTACTTGTACATGAACTTAGTCACTGTCCAGACTCAAAGGTCAAAGGTCAGCAGCAGCCTGCTGTAGTTCTGATGCTCCTCCACATGAGGGCGCTGCTACACAGACAACATGTAGAGACTCTGTGACAGTAAATTTGGAAACAGATTTTTCAGCTCAGTAAATTATTATATTAATAATAAAGCAATAAAGCAGATTCTGGTCTTATTGTGAAAATTTATTTAAACCACAAATAATGTTTTTCTCTCTGTGAAACAACAGAAGTAGACACAGGAAGTGGAACAGTGATCCATTATTAACATCAAAGTCATTTCCCTGGTGTTCAAACTGAAGAACAGACCCACATGGAAAAATAAATCTATTATAATCACATGTTATAAAACGTGTCAGCAGTGGAGGAAGTATTCTGATCCTTTACTGAAGTAAAAGTACAAACTGGAACTGTAAAATTACTCTTTCGTGTTTCAAGTCCTGTGTTGAAAATGTCATTTAAGGAAATCTATGTAGGTATAATCAGAAAAATGTGACTTTATAAATGTAGGCTATTATATTCCAAATATATACCTTACTATTTTATATTAAATCATTAGATTATTATCACTTATGCATTAATGTATGAGTAATGATAATAATATTCTCTCTCTGTTGGCTCTGTGTTTTGTTCTCCACCAGCTCCTGAGGGAAATATCGGAAATACGCTCCACCATGTTCACGGTTTGATGAGCTCAGGCAGATAAACATGTTTACATGTTCGCTTTTATTGGGTGTTTTCTTCAACACACTATTTCTGTCCAAACAGCCATGTTCACAATAACATAAAGCTTCCTGTGGCAGCATGGGGTTAGAGCACCACGGCTGTGTTAATTGACACATCAGCAGATGGAGGAAGCAGGAAGGTATAAATGGTGGCATGGCCCCTTCCTCTTCCTCTTGCTCCTGCCGACACCAAGCAACCCACATCACTGTGCGCTGCGATGTGCACAGCCGCTTTAATGTTAAAAGTAAACGCGCTCTTGTAGTCACTGATAATCCTGCTGCAAGCTGTTAATTCGGGTTGCTTGTGGTCCGAAGCTCCCTGTCTGTCAGTGTGGACCTTTCCCTCCCCATGTGGACGAGCGGTTGCTTGCCAGTGCAGCCTTCCTGCAGGGTTGGACCTTCCTTTCAGAGCATCAGGGACGTCCATTTGTCGTGTAGACTGGGTGAATCAGTTGTGTTTAGAGTGCTAACAGGGCGTTTGGTAACTGTGTGTTTGTAGGGCATGGAGCCTCCCTGGAGTGGCAGTCCAGTCTCTTGCCTGCCCAGTGGAGGAGAAGCTGCCTTTCCTCTTTCTTTACATGCTAGAAAACCCTTTTTATGTACATGATAAAAGTTCTGTTTGAAAGTAAGCTTATACGAAAGTGTGATTGGGTGTCTCTGTTAGCTCTGTCGTTTAACAGACTGTGTTTGTCACTTAGTGTAAATATTGTAAATATTCTGTTTTGTTTATATTGTTTTCTTTCTTTCTGTTTCTGCAAGTACCTGTTTGCTCTGGAGTTTGTTTTTTGTTAAACTAATTGATTTTGTTTGACTTAACAGTTGTTTTCTGTCTATTAACTTGTTTTGTGTCGCAGTTCTGTCTGGATGTTTCAAACTGTATGCATGTTGTGAAAAGCCTTTTAAAAAATGAAATGTTAAAATAAAAGGAACTGCGTTGTGAATAGAACAACGTCTCTGACCCTCCCTCCTCCGGGTAAGACGAACCTCTGCGCCTTCATGTATCAGTGGCTGAATTATATTTCTTGGGGTGAATTTCTCCAGGTGGCGTAGCCTGTTTAATAATGCATGTCTTAGAAATTTGTGGTAGGGTTAAAGCCAGGCTCCTCAGCGAGAACCGCAAACTATCCATGGGCTCCTGAGCAGACGAATCATTTGGTATTTTATATGACCATAAAACCGTCTGTTCCACAGCAACACTTCTCCTCTCCTTCAGTCTCTGGCGAGAAACCTAACAGCTCAGAGGGATTGTGCAATACCAAGATGGCGCCCCAGGAGCTATTTATTTTACACAATAAACAGTTCAAAACAGTTAGAACAGAAATACTCACTACATCTCCCGAAATAATCAGACAGTTGAATTAACGCCTCTATTAAAATGTTTCAACATAAACGGCTTGGGCTTTATTTTCATCACAGTAACTTGAAGGTTAGACTTGGACATGAGTGTCTTACTCCCACATCTGCTCAATGTAGGAGTATAAATCAGGCTTAAGGCTTAAGGAAACGCTGCAGAGTCTGCGTGTCGCTGTGATGGTCAGGGTTGGGAATGCCTTATGTCAATGAGATGTCTCCACAGGGATAGAGGAACAAGTGTGTGTGTGTGTGTGTTTAACACCTCGGGGCAGCATCGTATCACACCCCAAGAGGGTTGAAATGTCAAACATGTGTTATCACCCAACTGGACGCGCACACACACACACACACACACTCGCTCTCTCGTAAAATGTGTTATGAAGTTCATGACATGATTGTAAAATCAGATCACTTTCTGTTTCTACACACACAGCGTGCCTTCATGGTCCACAGGATATATATGTCTGCCGCGCACACACACACACACACACACACATCAGCAGTTGTAAATTGTGCATGACATCATTGTAAACACAGATCATTTGCCCGGGTCGGTTTTTGTGTACAGTGTTGAGTAAATGTTCCAACACACACACACACATAAGCGAGAGAGTGTGTGTTATTTATTTTTAATGATCCAGAATGTGACAGCTGTCCGGAGCAGACGCAGCGCTGACTGTGTGTGTGTGTGATGGAGATGATTGACATCTGATCACTCATTCACCACCTCGCTTGTGTTCTGGAGCTTCCTTCAATCCCATCACATGATCTTCATCAGCAGTTGGCGTTTTCAGCACTCATCATGGAAACGCAGATATTCACATTTCTAATTTTGTCGTCCATGTTGTGTCTCACTTCACATCGACGTCAACAAAGCTCACAGGAAAAAAAACCAAACATCTACGTTTCCATCATCTCCTAATGATGACCATGTGAAATTAGGCGCTTTCATCAACAGGGGAGCCTTCTGGTGAAACCATGCAACACTCATGGCATGATTGAAAGATCTGTCTTTCCGTTTCTTTTAATAATATCGGCCGGCAGATAAATCGGTCCTGGATGAGCTAAAGGTGTTTCCAACAAAACCTTGATTGTGCGCACGTGTATGGGTCGGCGGGGGAAGGCCCCACAAAACATTGTCCCCAGGGGCCTCTGACTTCTTAAACCTGGCCAGTTTCCAGGTGAGGGTGAGTTCGACTGCACATTTGTTTTACAGTACAACAAAGGCGTTAGTGTCTCAGATGGAGCTGTGTGAAGTCTGATAAACGTCCTCAAGTGATGTCACTTGAGTCGGCGTCGGCTGAGGACTACAAGTTTGAAGAGGAAAGAAAGCTTCTAGCCGCCACTAGCACAACACACCCCGATCGCTGACAGAACTGCTGCATTGTGGGTAATGTAGGCAGAAGATTTTGCAAGGAAGAAGAATGTGTGGAATAAAAAACAGATTACTGCGACTGTCGTTTTTGGAGGAGGTTTGCAACTCACCAATAAAGGAAAAAGCATTCGCGGAGATCTTTGATTGATCGAAAGTTAACTTTTCCAGCGGCGCTGGTTAAATGTACTCAGAGCAGCCGATACGAGTCGCCTCCATCCTGATTAAAATGTCGCCATGGTAGCGGCTAGTCAATCAGCTTGTAGCCCCGACCTAAAGTCTATTTTCCTTGAAATGGGACCATAATTTAAGACCATAAACTCATCAGGAAAGTGTTTACTGAGGGAATAAATCAGCTGAGAAGTAGAAACATTTTCTCAGAGACTTCTATACAATCACACTTCTTTCTGCAGCCGCTGGAGTCGCCCCCTGCTGGCTGCTGGAGAGGATGCAGGTTTAAAGCTCCTCAGCATTGGCTTCACTTTTCAGATCCAGAGGTTCCTGTTTGATTTTAACCCAAACCTTGATCTTTTCCTTTGTAGCTGCATGAGGGGCTTAGGCTCTCTACAACAGTTTATCCTGAGGGATAAATTCAAGAAACTACTTCACTGACAAATCAGAAATGAGACTATAAAACCGGCAATAGAAAAACTGCATCTATAAATAAGTTCATTCACACCTCCGGGCTCTCCCTCCATCCTCTGTGCCTCCTTCATTCTGTCTCCATCACTCCTTCGCTCTCTCTCTCTCTGTTCGTCCATGTCTCTCACGCTCCTGTTAAAGTCAAATCCCAGTACAGTAAGTTCACTGGGTGGGAGAGAGAGATGGGCGAGAGAGCATCAGACAGAACATAGGGAGAGAGAGGGAGGGGGGAGGTTACATGTAAAACATTTATTTCTGCTGGGTCGGGATCTGACACACTTCATCCACCCTGTGAAGCTGGCGGCCGCTGAGCCGAAGCTCTGAGCGAAGGTTTGTGTTTATTCTGGTTTTAATCAGTGAAACTAAAATATTTTGTTGTTTTTAACTTTCAGTGTTTAATGTCAGAAATGATTTTCAGTAGTGAAGTAAAGAGATTTATTTAGTTCTGATGTAGTTACTCGTTTCTTTTAAGCAAACTTTAATATCTTTAATCAAATGTGTTTTTAACAGCTTTAAAGTATTGAACTAATTAAAGGTATTAATCAGAAATCATTACATCTGTTTACCAGTGGTGGAAAGTACATTTACTCAAGTACTGTACTTAAGTTTCTGCTACTTCTACTTCACCACATCTCAGAGAGATATATTGTACATTTTGCTTAATTAATAATTAAGTAATAATTACTTTGTAGATTCTAATTAATACAAAATATAATCAACAAATTATGATGTATTATTACAGATAAAGACACTGATGCTTTTGTACTTTTACTCAAGTAAAATTTTTAATTGTAGAAATTGAGTATTTCTACACTGTGGTATTAGTACTTAATACTTACTTACTTAATTAAAAGGTCTGAGTACGTCTCCCACCTCTGCTCTGCAATAGAAGAGGAAAATTTTTGACCTTTTACGCCACTACTTTGTTCAGTTTATAAAATATAATGGATTCTTGTATGTTTTGATTTATTTTTTGATACTTTAAATGAGCTCAACCTCCACCAGCACTAGGAAGTACTCTTATATGCAGTATAAACTGTGAAAAGAATTAGTACTTTTTCTTTGAGGCTTAATACATCTGCACTTTTATTTAAGTAAAACTTTGCAGTAGTTTTACTTGCAGTGGAGTATTTTCATTATGATTTATTTATACTTTTATTTAAGCAGAGGATATTTGTCTTGTCTGATATTATTGTTAGTACTACAGTAGTATTACCATTATCTTATTATAGCAAAGCTTTATTGCTGTCGATGAATTTTGCTTTAAGCTGCAGCAAACTGCAACTTAATACCTGCTGAGAGTCGTCTTGTTTCTAGTGGTGGAAAATAACTTTCCTGAAGTACTATGCTTACGTACACATTTGAGGTTCTTTACTTTACTTTACACTTTTTAATCCACTACATTTATCTGACAGTTGGTCCTTTTCAGATCAATATTCATACGTCAAATAGTTTATTAAATGTGTTCTGTTAGACATGAAACTACCCAACAGTGTAGTTGCTTTAAATCATTGTAACGGCTTTTGTTGTTTACCTTGATAATCAACTATGAAAATATCATCAATCACCAATTATTGTAGTTGTTAGAATTGGCTCCACCTTGACAATATTCAGATGCTGCTTAGACAGTAAATCAGGAGTAAAATGCCAACAATAAACACTTTGAATAGAGGACTTTTACTTTTAATACTTGAGTACAATTTGCTGGTAATACTTGTGTGTTTTTACTTAAGTAAAAGATCAGAGTACTTCTGCCACCGCTGGTTGTTTTTGACTTCCAGAGACTGAAGGCCTTACCAGGGTCAGTTCACTGTGACATCCAAATACTTTAAACCTTTAAGAGGGCAGTGGATAAAAGACCTTCAGCTTGGTGTTAAGTTCATCCTTAATCAAAGTATCAGTAGGAGCAGAATGAGTATTATCAGTATTGTGTTGTTACAGATGAACCTGGCTCTGATCCACGACCGAATGCATATTAAGAATTTCTGGGAGAAGAAGATTAACAATGACTGTCAGTATGCCGAGAGCGAGGAGCAGAGGATGAACAAGAGCGCACTGAACAAGTAGGCAAGAACACACACAAGTACACAGCAGCAAACCAACCTCCGACTGTGTTAGGGCCCTTTCACACCTGCCTTTTCGGTCTGGACTTTCGGACTTTTCAGTTTAATCCAAACCAAAATTGCACGTGGCCAGGACCAAAAAGCCAAAATTGTTCTATTTCTATGCACAAATATATGCAGTATTCAGAGACTTTACTTAAGTAAAAGTAGCAGAACCACATTGTGAAAATACTCCATAATGCTGTTGCTACTGATGCTGGGTCTCAATTCGCACCCTTTCACAGTTACTACTTTGAGGGTACAAGTGTGTTCACACTGAGAAATACAGCAGAGTACATGGATGGTGCACTCATAACGGCCAAAAAGTTGAGTGTGGAACGGTGGACACTTCTCACCCTTAACGGCCGCCATTTTAGCAACGTAGCAAAAGGGGGCAGGACCTACAACATAGGATAAGCAAAAAGCAGAAGAGAGAGAGAGGCCGACAACAGGACATTTTTTACAACTTTCATAGATTATGTCATCACTAAATGTACCTCTGAGAAGTTCTGAGGCGAGAAATCAAATGTGCAGATGTCGGAAGCTCTGCAACTGCCGGCCTGTCAATCACGCTCACAGAGCCCTGTGCTCCTCCGCTGCAGCCAACGCAGTAGCTGACTCCATCAACAACGGCAGAAGAAACCACAGCTGTAGGATAGTTTAAATGTTCATACCGCTATTATTCTGCCATTACATTATGAGTAATTTAAATTAAGAGACATCTGGCTCGTGATATACAGAAAATTCTGGCTTGTGAAACTTAAAAAAAAAAAAAAAGAAGTAGAAAAGGGGGACTTTCGTTACTTTATAAATTATTATTATTATATCAGATAATACTCTGTGAGTGTACAGTTGTGGTTACAATATTTGCTTTCTGTTGCTTTTATTTTATATAATTATTATTTATGCACCGAAGAAAATTCCTTTTAAGTTAAAACTTGGCAGTAAACCCGATTCTGAGCATTTTCTTTTTGGTGATTAAGCCTGGAGGTTATTTTGGAGCTCTGCAGGCGGCCTCTGTGCTGGGGGAATTGCACAATCTTGCCATAGTCATTTCTGGTTAGTGCACAACATCAATGTTTGATTTGAGACAACACTACCCACACTAAGCAAGTAAATACATTGTGTACACAGTGTACTGCATGTACTAAAGGCAGTACCTGAATTGAGTCACAGCTGAAGTAAAAGTCCTGTATTGAAAATCTATGTATGTAAGTATTATCAGCAAATGAGTAAAAAGTAAAAGTACTCACAATGCTACATAAAACCCCCTTTCCCCTTTTGGAAGCAAACAGAACATCATCATCTGCAAAGAAGCAGATATGTAATCTTGAGGTTACCAGTTCAGACACTGTCTCCTGGATGCAAAAGCACAACATGAAGCTTTGTCCGTATCAGTCATGCCAGGGATTTGGATAAAGCTCTCCCTCCAGTTATACAAGGATTGGATGGCTTGTAGAAATGTACCCCATATTTTTTGTAATATGCAAAAAATGACATATGTCTTACTAAAGTATAGGAAACATACTTCCCTGCCCCCTCCAGAATCCTTACCCTCCTTGATCTGAGATTTGAATGTATTGAGATTACCCTGTGTTTTTTGCCAAAAGCCCAATGCGTTGGCACCCCTGCAACATTGCATGAGCGGTCCCATTCAAATGAATGCCAGTGGCATTATGCTTCTCCTGAGTCCTCCAAATCTGACACATCCACAGAGGGTGTATCTGCGGGTTCAAGAGTTCCTTAAAATGTCCCTTCAACCACCCAACAATATTCCCAATCAAGGTCAGCAGTTCTCTTTCCCTGCTGAGCACAGCCCTGGCAAGGCCCCTTTCTGAGTCGTCTGGCAGTGTGGCCAAACCTTTAAAGGCCAACCAGATCTTCCGTCACCTCCCCAAACTCTGCCTGCATGACAGTGGCCCCAGCAGCCCCCATAAGACCGCTAATATACACACTATATCAGATGTGCTTGCCAAAAGTTGTTGAACAACTTCTGAAAACGCCTTCATCCACACCCTCCCGACATTTCGGTTTTCTGAATCATGACAATCAATCAATCATTCCTAACTTCACATTTTCATTGGTCATCTGTGCGTAAGTGAAAAGGTAGGCAGGGTTGAACTTCTCTATGAACTCTGTTCTTCACACACCTACTTCTATCACCTTTCATGTGAACAACAGAGTGCAACACACTGTTACACGTCTTGCAGGAGTGATCGTCTTACGGTTTGTGCCGTTATCCCCATTTGTACAATGCATCACATCTTTTTGCCACATAAATTGGTTTGTTTTGCGCATATTCCCGCCTATAGGCCTTCCAGCAGGTGCACACCTACAAGCTTACCTCACAGGCCACCCAGAAAGACACCCTATTCTGGGCAAACCCAGAATGAATGTGGTTTCAGTTGTGGTAGACATAAGACTGTCTGACAAATAGACACATCTAAAAACAGATCCTCTCATTACAGACAACCTCTCGTCTCTCAGTGAGCTGTAAGATATACCAGGACAAACACACACTCGACCCTCGCAGACAGACTGGTCGTTAAAGGTCTCAGTAATGATGATCACTAACGGGCGGAAACATCAGCCAGACTTTAACCTGAACTCACCTCGCCCTGTAAACTGACCATCAATACTCCGGAGTTTTATAATTACACATATAATACTCAGGAGATGTTTTAACTGTTGCCAACATATTGGCAAAATAGGAAAAGGCAGCTACATTACAGTCAGTCTTTTGATTGTTTGATATTTAACTATGACAAACCTTGTATTTGGTTTGTCCGACCTACTTAGTCTGATCCTTTAACAATTACACTTCTCTCCCAAACTTCCTTTACCTTTTGATACAACCATAGCGTGACGTGACGTAGTGTGTGAAACCTTGTTCTTCCATAGATATTTGGTATTGATCCAACATCACTGACAGTCACAAATAGAGCACAAAGGGTTAGTATATGTATATCTATATGTACTGTTTATTTCTTAGCAAAGCTAAAAACTGGATGGATGGCAAAGTCTGTCTGTCCACCACTTCGGTTCAGACTGAAACATCTCGAAAACAGTTGGATGGATTGTGATGAAACCAACCTCAGAAGCACCCAGAACATCTTGACATATAAATTATAGTTAGTTATCAACAATCACAGCTTTGATGCTTTCTTGGCCACAGTATTTTACTTGGTCCTTCTGTATTGCAGGTGGGCTGCCTATCTTCATGTGCTATAATAAAATGATGGATGGAGGGAGAGCTCTGAAGTATGAATTAACTTATTTATAGATGCAGTTTTTTATTGCCGGACTAAGTTCAAGTCTCACTTCTGATTAACCAATGAGGCTCTGAAGTAGTTTAATCGTTTTAAAGTTTGAGAAACTTTAAAGGACAATGTTGGCACAATAATGGAGGAATGTTTTTAGCCATGCTATCCCAGCAGCTGTTGGATGAAATGTGGTTCAGATCTTCATGTTTCCCTTCAGGATCAACTGAAGGGAAACATGAACTTTGGTGATCCTCTGACTTTTCATTTAGCATCATCATCATGTCAATATGTTAATATGTCCAACACTTTGGTTTATGACCAAATACCTGCAGAACTAATGAGATTCCCATCAGCCTTGGATGTGCGCTGTGTTTAATGCCAGTTGGCTAATGTTAGCATGCCAACAAGCTAAAGTAAAATGGTGAACATAGTAAACATCAAACCTGCTAAAAACAAGCATAATGTTGGCATTTTCTGCTAAAAAGCCTCTGGGTTGGTGGAAGGATGGCGAGAGAAGGAACGAGCGGTCTGATTGGAGGTGATCTGGATGTGATGGTCCAGCTGGTGATGAGGAACCAGTCTGGCGTTGCTGCACAGCTCTGTTTGAATAGGCGATAGTCTGGACCACAAGGATTAGAACATGACCTAATACAAACAATGTCAAAGGCCATAACAAACCTTTTAATATGGTTCATATAAAATGTATACCATTTCTCATGAACCTCCTCCGTTGTGCCAAACACGTTGTTGGGGAAGCTGTCAGCATGCAGATTCTTCTTCTGTCAGACCTTCATTACATTATAATGGGATTTTCAGGCGTATGGTAAATATCCTATTAAACCGTCACCTCTTAGCCAAGTATTAGCCCGATCCCTCCTAACTCCAGTGTTCTACTCCTCTATCCCCCTTAACCTCGCACCACCTCTTCAGCCCATCACACCTAATCCCCCAGCTATCCATTACCCTGTACCCCTAATCCCCCACCTATCAATACCATGTATCGCCTAATCCTCCAGCTATCTGTTACCATGTACCTCCCAACTCCATAACTATCTAGCCCCCCCCGTCGCCTCTAACCCCGGCTCTAGTCTCCGCTAATTGTGAATGTTATGTGTGACCCGGCGGGAGGCTGGAAAACTGTGCGACAGATAGTCGAGGTGATAATCACAGAGTGATGACTGATGGTGGCCGGCTGACAGCAGATAGGAAGCACGGATACACGAGGCCGAAATTAGAAGATATTCTAAATAATAACAGTATGACTTTGTCCGTCGGAGTGCACGGAAAGATGACATTACATTAAATTCTTAACATGTTGAAGCAAAGTTTCCATCCTACTTTTTTAGCTGGGACTAAACATATTTCTACCCTCAGTGCAGATCAGTTTAAGTGTGAGCTGCAACAAGTGGTGCATTTAAGGATTGGTCGAACAACAGAGAATAAATTGGTATAGAAATGTCAAATTTTTCTGATTCTAACTTCTCCAATGTGAGGATTTTCTGTCATATATGATAATATGCTGAATATTTGGGGGTTTGAGATAGTTATGAATGAAACAAGGTATTTGAATACATCCCTTTGGGCTGTGGGAGGTTATAACAACAGGTTTTACTCGTTTCTTTATGGACAAAACAATCACTTAATCGAGAAGAAATCTGCATATTAATTGATCATGAAAATACTGTGCCTGGCGGGATGTCTTGGTAAAGCTCATGCAACCCGTTCTCACTCCCAAGTCTTCACGGCC